AGTGCGGTCCAAACAATTTCCACACTATACGCTTTTTTATCTATTAAACCCGCCAGCCCGCTACCTGTCTCTCACGTTCCGCATTACTGCCGTTCCGTTCACGTCGTACTTTTGTCTGCCTATTAGCTGACACCTTGCCAGCACCATCCAGCCTTTGTCCTGCCCACACCCTGGCTGCGGCGAGACATCAATTGGTTGCACTGTCATCACTGCGCCTGCCGGTAAAGGGAAATTTCGGTGAGTCACCTCCCTTGCATCATCGCTCACCGAGTTTGTTTGCATCTTGCTGTCGATTGAGGCCTTGATGAGATTATCCATTCAAATACACATAAAGCTTATTACTTTGACTTACCTCAGACGGCTAACATCTCATTTCGCGTAGTGGCCGCGATCTCTTTAACCTAAGCCGCATTGAGCTGCAATGTGAGATAGCTCCAGGGCAGATCGTTGTCATCGAACCGCGTGAAGACATTGCACCAGACCTATTAGCTGCTGAGGAGACGCCTAGTCCTCCTCCTTCATCATCATCTTCATCTTCTTCTCCACCAAACAACATTCCCAACCCATCGTGGACCAAAGCCATGGAGGTTGACACACGCATGCCGTCGTTGCACCAATCGGCGTATTCTCATACTCAAATGGGCATACGTCACGATCTCGATCGCGATGCCGCAAAGCAACATCTCATGTACCCCATTGATCACGACAGACAGTCACGAAAACAATTATCGTCATCGATACATTCTCCTCCAGTGACCAATTCCTTGCTCAGTGCTGTTCAACCAGCACCAAGCAAAAGACCATCAATTTCATCCCCCGCAGCGGAGCCAATACACCAGGCTGATTCCCCGCAACAAGTATCCGCCACACACCCCACTGGTAATGTGCGTGAGTCTCGGGGTAGTGTGTCTAAACCACAGCCTGCCCCCGAAACATCACAGACAAATGGTCACCAGTACCCTCGCTCACCTGGCATGGTGGGCATGGACGCTATTGAGCGTTTACAAACACAAATTTCTCAAAATAGCGGCGCCCTGGCTGCTCACACTCGAGATATACGTCGTGGCGAAGAGACCTTTCAACAAGTCGAGGAATCCCTTCGTCGTGAGTTTCAGGCCCAGTTGTTCCGACAGACGGCCGACATCCAAAAGGTGGAAGAGTCTGCAGCACGACTACAACACGAAATGCAAGGCATGCGCCATGCAATGGAAGCCATCAGCCGAGAGATGGAGGCTTGGAGAATTGACAAGCAATCACGCAAATCCGTCTTTTCCCCAAGCCACCAGATGGCCGCTCAAGACTCGGCACTCGAACTCATGACACAACAAATCGCCGTCATGTCCCACAAGACAAGCGATCTCGACAATCTAAAGCTCCACATTGAGATCATGAAGAACAAAATCTACCGACTCGAAGAAAGTGCCAAGGCTGCGTCATCTCAGCCGCCATCACACACATTCCAACTTCCACGTGAGACGGCAGTTGCACCTATCCCATCGACGCATGCGGCGGTGTCATCTCACCCCAGCACCCCAACGATTCCACAGGCCAGCGATGCATCTCGCCGTGCCTCAGGTGGTCAGCACCACCAGCCATCGTTTGCACAGCCAGCACCCAAGCCTGTAGTGGAAGCCACACCGAGAAGTGAGCTTGTGCCTAGTCAGAGCAGCGGATGGGCGACTGTCAACGCTGGAGTGAAACGAAGTTCCCAAAGCGGCATGGACAGCCCCCAGGAGAGCACCATGCATGGGCCAAGTTCCCCAAAGCGGCCAAAACTGGGCGAAGCTGAGCCATTCCCTGGCTACACTGCCGCGCAACCACCACCTAGTCGTGCCGCAGTAGAACCGACAGACGCTCGATTTCCAACGCCTGCACATGCCATTACATCTCAAAATCCTGTAGCTGACCAGGTTCCCTCGTCTCAACCGCAGCAGCAACCTTCCTATTCTCCATATACCCCGCAGTATGCGCCGTCAGACGACAGCTGGCGGGCCGATTCCCAACGTATGATGGGATATCGACCCCGTGGGCGTGGGCGTGGCGGCGGAGGACCCGGCAGTCGGGGCGGTAGAGTTCGAAAGAGCATGCTTGTCCAGCCTCATGGCACCTTTGCAACACCAGAATGGGAAGCGGATGACTGGCAGAGCCTTCGCAGCTCACAAGGTAGTCCAGAAGACTTCCACGCCCACATGGCACGCTCCGGTCGCGGTAGCATAGCGCGCCGTGGCAGTGGTGGCAGTGGTGGCGCGCGCGGAGGCTACATGACAAATGATCGCACTTCAAGTCTCGGCCTACAAGGGGTGACGGCTGGCATCAGCTTTGGGCCTCCAGGTGAGGCGTACGGCTCTGCAAAGAGGACTCGTACAAAGCCGGTGCGCAACGCGGATGGTGTGCTTATTCGAAAGGATGGCCGTCCTGATATGCGTTCGCAATCGTCAGCCGCCAATCTGCGTAAGGTGCATGCCCGCAAGGAAAATGAATCTAGCCACTCTCCTACGCCCGCAAGCATCCAATACGCGGCCCCGGTCAGTGCGGCTGACACACCCAGCCCTACCGGGCTTGCAGCTCACCCGAACGCGACCGATAAGCACAAGGCGATCATGGGCAAGATCTTCCCGGAAGGTTTGGACGCATCCCGGAAGCAACATGACTATGCTAGTCAAGTGTTTTCAGAGGAATGCGACCACACTATTCATACGCGGTCACATGGTCACCGTTCTGCAGCCAAGGCTGACAAGTCCGTTAAGAAGGAGCAAGGTGAACATGATGCAAGTCCCAGGCAAAAACAAAGCCCAGAGAGAAAAGATGTAGATATGGATAGGGCTGACAGTCATGCTGCTGATGAGGACGAGGAGCATGAAGAGGAATACGAGGAATACGAAGAAGGACACGAAGAGGAAGGCGAGGATGAGGATGAAATGCAGGCTCCCGAGCGATCTGGTGAGCACGCCAAAGCACATGGAGAGATTGCAATAAAACAAGCAGAAGATGAAAATGCCACTACCACTGGCTCGAGAGCTGGGTCAGAAAACCAGGCAGTGGAGAGCTCAGCGGCAAATGACGATGACTGTATACATGTACAAGCTTAATAGGTTAATCTTTTCTAGAATAGTAAATGTTACCTGTATAGATTACTTATGAAGTTATGTTCTTTTGTTCTGATGTTGCTGTCATTTGCATATCTACGTTACTGTTCGTTTTTCTATCCGCATCCATTATTCACATGCTATAAATGTATAAGAAAGATGCTACACAACCACTAGTACACTTGCTTTTAGTACGGAACCGCAGGAACCTTTTCCGAACCATTCGTTCGCTCCGGGTAGAAAATGGCGTCCTTTGTTTTCGCACAGTTGGTCAGGTAACTCGCCGACGCATTAACAGGAATCGTGTTTCCTTCCTGAGGGCGACCGTAGACCTACAACAAAATCCTCGTTAGCAAGACCACTATTTTCCACCTAGACAAAAAAAATACTCGAGAAAAATACTCACATGCTCATAATACCACACCTCATTCAACACGGTAAACCCCATATCCGTACTATTCCTCCCCGCAACCGTCTCATTGAACCTCGGACCCGAGCACCCCAAAAACGGGACACCACCATGCCTCTCCGCCAACACATCCACAATCTCCCCATACGAATACCTAACCGACGCATTCGACGGCGTAATACCCGCCTCGTGCAGCCACTCAAACGTAGGAAACCGCTTATAATACTTTACCGCCGTCTCGAAAAAATCGACGACGTCTTCGTGCTGGCGGTACAGCGGACCGTAGCACGGCACGTTGAAGGTAGAAAAGCAAGTAGCGTGTTTTGAGAATTCGTGGGCATGGAAACCCGCGTTGTCTTGTTGCCACGCCACCCAGTAGGTCGACATGTAGTCTAGGAGGTCGTATTTGCCAAAGGGCTCGAGGAAAGTATCGATATTTGGGCCGGTGTAGGCGGGCACGGCGGTGCCGTTGGGGAGGCCATTTGTTGTGTTTGGGGAGGGAATGGGGTCATATTGGCGGGTCAAGTCGCAGTATTGGGTGTAGCTTCCGTTGCAGAAGTCGGGCCAGAGACCGTGGAGCGTCCAGGTGTCCTTGGGGAGGTACTGGCCTGAGGATTCGAGGCCGGTGTAGGTGTTCCAGAATTGTGTGCTGAGGAGGAGGCCGCCGAAGGTTTCGGTGCAGCACGAGTCTACGCATGAGGCGTCTTGGGACGGGCAGGATAGCAGGGGTTCTTGGAGTTGGCAGGTGTGGTTGAGGGGGGATTGGAGGGGGTAGAGTTGGGCGGTGGAGCATGTGGTGAGGAGGGTGAGGGCGAGGGCGAGGGCCCGGGGGAGATTGTGGTCCTTCATCTTGATTATGGGGGTTGGGAATGAAGGGAAATGCTTAATCACAATCAATGAAATACAACTTGAGGGTGGAAAGACGGCTCTTATTATATTCTTTGAAAAAATTTGGCCACAGCCCTTACTAGTACGTATGTAATGCATTGCCCGCTGCCGCTCCAGGTTAGGAAAAAATCAGTCTTTACCTGTTGTAGAAGGTAAATATTCCCGCAGTTGCAAGGTACGAAGGCCGGGCGTCGGCCATGGGCGAAAGGTGGATAAGGCGAGGTACCTGCGTGTAAGCTAGACGGGCTCACGTGTGCGCGCCATTGGACGATAAGAGAAGCACGCCCCCAAGCCACCGTAGGAATGCTTGTCTCGACGCGCTCGCAGCTCCGGGGCTAGACATGCTTGAGAACGTAGGTGTAAAGACGGCCATTGCGAATTGAACCGAGCATGAAGTCATTGGTTTGTAGCGTGGTTGGTTGGAAGCTCTTTGATCTGGCGCAGTCTGGCTGCGTTGTTCGGCGGGACAACTTTCTCTCCGATGGACTATCTCTGCGTTGCGCAGCTCCGTCATACATTTGCTATAACATCATCACTTGCAGCGTCGCAAACATGCGCGGTTATTCACAGTTTCCAGCGTGCTCAAACGCTTCCTTGGGTACAGTAGAATACCAGAAATGTCTCCTACGTCCACCATAACAGCACTCGCGCCGCGTACACCAGACGCATACACAACCGCCCATCACATCGGCAATCCACCAACGTCCTTTAAAAACCCATGGCCCTCGTACAAAAACAGCGGCATAGCCACCGCCGTACGCACCCGCTTCACAACACCCAAAAACTTCGTCCCCGTCCCAACCGACCGCGCCGGCCTCGTCCAAGTCCGCAAGCCCGACTTCAACACCACCCGCAACGGGCTCAAAGCCACATGGATCGGCCACGCAAGTTTCCTACTCGAAACAACTCGCTCAGACTCTAGTGAACGAGGCATGCGCCTCCTCGTCGACCCCGTCTGGAGCGAGCGCGTAGGACCTTACGGCATGGTTGGGCCTGTACGCTTCACACCACCACCCTGCTCCATCGATGACCTCCCACACATCGACGCCGTATGCATAAGCCACGACCACTACGACCACCTCGACTCCGAGACACTGCGCAAGCTCAACACAAAGCAAAACGGAGACCTGCGCATCTTCTGCGGTCTAAACGTCAAATCCGTAATCACAGGCCTCAGTGCCGGCATCACCGCATCGCAAGTCACAGAGTTAGACTGGTGGGACGCCGTAACGCTCTCAACACCAGGCGTCGGAAGCGTAGATATAATCTGCACACCCGCCCAACACCGCTCTGGCCGCGCACCCTGGAATTTCGACGCTACACTCTGGTGTAGCTGGGTAATCCGCGAGTCTTCTTCTTCTTCTTCCTCCTCCTCCTCCTCCTCCTCCTCCTCCTCCTCGCCAGCAACAGCACCCAAGTCCCTCTTCTTCGCAGGCGACACGGGATACTGCCACGTCAGCTCTGACGACCAGTACTCGCACCACGAAGCCCCGCATCCCCCTTGTCCCGCTTTCAAAGACATAGGCAACCTGTACGGTCCTTTTGATCTCGCTTTATTACCCGTCGGTTGCTTCATGCCGCGCGCGCTGCTGTCGGGCCAGCATTCTAGTCCAGAGGATTCGCTTGCGATACATAGGGATGTGAGGAGTAAGAAGAGTGTTGGCATGCATTTTGGCACGTTTAGAGGTGGGTTTTCGGTCAATTACGAGCCGGTTACCGAGCCGCCGAAGCGCTGGCGGAAATGTGCAGAGGCGGAGGGGTTGGAGTGGGGGGTGGAGATTGGGTTGTGTGATATTGGAGAGACGGTGGTGGTGGAGTAGGTATTTGCTACTTGTAATGCTGATGATTAATGTGATAATGTGACATGAATATGTTGAGGAACACTGGTGTTTGGCAATCAATTCACTCTGTGAGTAATAACAAATCAAAGACGAAAGAGAATGGCCAGTCATGATTCGGAAAGATGCATTACAACTCTATCATCTAAGTGGCGGTAAAGCGCCTTCGTGACTACTCGTACAGCGCCAGTCCTAGCTCTCAACCTACAAGTGGAGAGCCACCTGTGACGGGATGAACAACATCCCTTAGTTGTACTGCATGTACGTGGCAGTCGAGTTGAACTTGAGGTTGCCCTTGATGACCTTGTCAACGGCAGCCAAAAAGTCCTTCTCAGTCGCAACCTTTCTCCTCGCACGAATGGCAAACATGCCGGCCTCTGTCGCTACACTCCTCAACTCGGCACCTGTGCTGTTAGGGCAGAGACGGGAAATAAGCTCCCAACGAATATCGCGCTCGACGCTCATGCTCTTGGCGTGGATGCGGAGAATGTTGGCACGACCCTCCATGTCTGGTAGCGAGAACTCAATCTTTCGGTCAATACGTCCAGGACGCATGAGGGCAGGGTCTAGAGTGGAAGGTCTGTTTGTGGCGAACATGACCTTGATGTTACCGCGAGCGTCGAAACCGTCGAGTTGTGTGATGAGCTCCAACATGGTACGTTGTACTTCGTTGTCACCTCCAGCACCGTCGTCGAAACGCGCTCCACCGACAGCATCGATTTCATCAAAGAAGATGATACACGCCTTCTTTGTTCGCGCCATCTCGAATAGCTCACGCACCATCCTGGCACCTTCTCCGACATACTTCTGGACAAGCTCGGAACCAATGACACGGATGAAGGTGGCGTCGGTTCGGTTGGCGACTGCTCGCGCGCAAAGCGTCTTTCCGGTTCCTGGTGGGCCGTAGAGTAGAGCGCCCTTTGGAGGGTCGATTCCGAGGTTGACGAAGCGCTCTGGTGATAACAGCGGCATCTCGACGACTTCTCGCAGCTTCTCAATCTGCTCCTTGCATCCTCCCACATCTCCGTATGTGACGTCAGGCTTGTCCTCGACTGTCATCATGGTAACCGAAGGGTCGATCTTGGGCGGTAGAGGGAGCAGGATCTGGTACTTATTACGGTCGACGCCCACTCGCATGCCCTCTTCAATGTCCGTGGGTGAGACACGCTCTCCCAAGTTGACGACGAACTTTGCGATTTGCTTGACGTTGATGACATATTTGCTCTTTTCCGAGTCTTTCTCGTCCTGTATTATCTTGGTGCATCGGGCGACTTGGAGGGGCTGCTCTTCTTGCATACGTTGGCGGTCGGCGGCAATATCCCATAGATGTGGAGGTGCGAGACCGGTATCTGATTCCTAGAGGGATGTGAGCGGGGGAGGCCAAGGGCAATGGTGGGCTAGACTACCTTGACTCCAATCTTCTCGTTTATCGTTTGCTGCTTGTCCTTGATCTCCTTCTCCAGCTTCTTCAGCTCCGCGCCATAGGGTGCGGCCCCGTATGTCTTCAACACCTGGATGTCCCTGCCATTGCGTCAGCGTTTATGCCGGGGAAATAACACCGGTCAAGCTTACTCATCAGTGAGAGGCGTGATCTTCTTCTCCTCAACCTCGTCGTCGGCAAAGTTCTTCTGGTACTTCTCCCAGGACTGGCCTGTGGCTGAAGGCATGGCTGCGGTGTTGGCGGCGACTGTCGGGCGGCCGGTGTGTTGATGGGACTATGTGGGTGTGCGAGTGTATGGATAGAGATAGTCTGACGAGTCCCGGATGAAGAGAGCGACAGTCGGACGAGATGTATTTGTGGTGGAGATCGTGTACGGGCGTGGGTGTTGTGCTATGCAGTGAAGGTGGTAGCTGTGGTTGATGCGGCGATGGGCCCGGCGAGTCGGAGCTTGTCGCTGTCAGTGCGCTACGTCTATCGCGTTCTCGAAATCTTGTCAGGTTCGCGTCCCCGGCACCCAAAACTTCCCCGCCAACCCACCACGATACCCCTCCTTTGTCTTTGTTTTCTCGAGATTCCCCAAACATGGCTGCTCAAGTTGCAAGTGGCGGAGGCGGTGGCGGAAATGCTGCCTTCAAGGTATGGCTGCCTACACCATGAGCTCTGAAAACATTGACTGATGACAAGTACAGGATAAAGAAAAGCCTAGGGCGGTCCGCAGTGCCAACATTATTGCAGCAAGAGGTATACATATTTCGCCCATGTGTTCAACCCCCTAAGCTGACCCAAAATGTGTAGCTGTGGCAGATGCGATCCGAACTGTATGTCCCACCACAGGGTGCGGGGAACAAGACAAATACTGATATTTTGGCAGTCTCTGGGACCAAAGGGAATGGACAAGATGGTAATTGGATATATACAGTCTTTAGACAAGTCAATGGCTAACTCGCTGCAGATTCAAACCAGCAAAGGCCAGACAATCATCACAAACGACGGAGCCACCATGTTGAACCAAATGAGCGTCATGCACCCGTCGGCCAAGATGCTCGTCGACCTCGCACACGCCCAAGATATCGAGGCTGGAGATGGTACAACATCAGTCGTGGTTATTGCTGGTAGTCTTCTCGGAGCTGCTGAGCGGTTATTGGCAAAGGGCATCCACCCCACAGTCATATCCGAGGCCTTTCAGCGCGCCGCCCAGGAGGCCATATCTATCTTGACTGAAATGGCCATTCCCATTTCTCTTACAGACAGGCAGACTCTCCTCAAGACCGCTACCACTTCCCTCTCCTCCAAGATTGTCGCTCAAGAGCCAAAGCTGCCCATCATGGCCGTCGACTCTGTGCTCAAGGTCATCGACCCCAAGACCGCCGACAACGTAGACCTGAAGAACATCCGCATGATCAAGAAGTCGGGCGGTACCATTGAGGACAGTGAGATGATTGACGGGCTAGTTCTCAATCAGCCAGTGGTCAAGAGCGCCGGCGGCCCCACACTCAAGGAAAAGGCACGGATAGGTCTCATCCAGTTCCAGCTGAGCCCCCCAAAGCCAGACATGGAAAACCAGATTGTTGTCAACGACTACAGGCAGATGGACAAGATCCTCAAGGAGGAGCGGACATATCTGTTGAACATGGTCAAGAAGATCCAGAAAGCAAAGTGCAATGTTCTCTTTATCCAAAAGTCTATTCTGCGCGATGCTGTCAACGATCTTAGTCTGCATTTCTTGTCAAAGCTTAAGATCTTGGTTGTCAAGGACATCGAGCGCGATGAGATTGAGTTCATCTGCAAGGTGCGTCAATATGCAGTCTATCATCAGAGTTTACGCTAATACGATGCAGAGCACTGGTTGCAAGCCCATCGCCGACATTGACTCGTTCACAGAAGACAAGCTCGGCTCGGCTGACCTTGTTGAGGAAGTACAAGCATCCGGTGCTCGATATGTCAAGGTCTCGGGCGTCAAGTCAGCGGCCAACACTGTGTCGATCGTCTGTCGGGGTGCCAACAGTCTCATTCTGGACGAGACGGAGCGATCACTTCATGACGCACACTGCGCTATCCGCTCATTAGTCAAGAAGAAGGCGCTTCTTGCTGGTGGAGGTGCTCCAGAAATCGAAATTGCGCACCAACTCTCCCTCAAGGCTCGTGAACTCACCGGCACTGAAGCTATTTGCTGGAAAGCTTTTGCCGATGCCATGGAGGTTATCCCAACTACACTAGCGGAAAACGCAGGTCTCAACAGCATCAAGGTCGTCACCGAGCTGAGGCATAGACATGCGCAAGATCAAAAGTACGCAGGAATTAGCATCAAGAGCGGAGGCGTCAAGAACGACATTAGCGAAGAGAATGTGCTGCAGCCGCTGTTGGTCAGTACCAGCGCCATTGAGCTGGCAGCCGAGACGGTCAAGATGATTCTCCGAATCGACGACATTGCGCTGTCAAGGTAGAAGAAAATAACAATGATATTGCCGTGATCTGTTGCAGCAAAATGATAATACCACGAGCAATGACAAAAGATTACGCGAGCTCTGTAAAGATCCACCTAATGGCGTGATGTGACATGTGTGTATGTGTGAACCTCAGGCAACCCCTGGTGCATCTAATGCATGAAAAGTCGCAATCAAAACCTGCATGTAAAGAAGCGAGAGAGTGTGGGACTTGCATGTAGTGGGTCCGCCACAGCTGTTGTTTGTACTGCATGTTGCCCGAATAGCTCGAGTAGCATGAAAGTGTAATTATAAGTACATGAAGCGAGTCGGATTGCGTCAATTCGCTTGAGTGTCTGTGGGGTTTCCTCTTTTGCACAATGTAATAAAGACCCTGCGTCGGTGTTGTCCTAGTAGTCGCTTGGCCTTTTTGGTCTGCTTCTGTAGACTCCTGCATACTGCAGGCATTTATATAGTTAGTTAGATTCATGTTTTATGTATTGGGGGGGGAGGTGATTGTGGGCAAGGTATACTACGGGTAATATGGGCTTGATTTTTGCCGTAGCAAGACATGTAGATGGCGTAATTGTGTGGGGCTTGTAGGATTTAGATGATGCGCTTAGAACGGATGTGCTGATCTTCCGGGTCTTGGAAATACGGTTACTGTTGCGAGGAGGTGTGTTATGGCTTGGGGTAAATTTTTTGTGATGGTAGGATGGTAAGAGGGGGAAGTTTGCAATTCGTGTCTTACGCTACTAGTCAATGTGTTCAGAGGTACATGTGTGTCTAGCTACGCAACACAGGAGAATTTATCAATTCACAATGAATAATTCAAGATGGTCATTTCAATAATACTTTTGCCTTTGCTTACACTCTCCTCCAGACCCACGAGCCATCCGTTCCCTCTTCATACATACCTCACAAAAAAAGAACAAACCACCCCCAAGAATCCAGCCGTCCCAGGTTCCCCCAACCCAACCCCCAACCTAGTAGACCTTCGACCAAACTCCTAACCAGAATCCCTAAACCCAAGCCCACTCTGTGCCCCCTCCATCTCGCATCTGCCGAACCCTCTTCTCCCCAACTCCTCACACTACCCCCCACCACCACCACCACCACCAACGCTTGCAAAAACTAGCACGTTTCATCATGCCCATCTCTGCCTCGGCCCACTACCTCGTAGCGCTGACCGCAGAATAGCGGCCGACCAACCAACTCCGCCCTCTCTCTCTTCCCTTCTCTAACTAATCCACACACCCAGTCTCAGTCTCAGTCCCAATTACTTCCCCTTCCAACCCGGGGAGTGCACCCATCACCAAAAAAACAAGCGACCGGCCCGGTCCACCTTAAACTGTAAACCCCCCCCCCCACACACACACATACACATACAACAGCCAAAGAAATGGAGAGGTGGGTCCAGGGTTTCGGTCTCCGGTTCGTCAGTCTACGTGCATACACACCCGGTCCGGCCTAAAAACCTTAACTTTTCTCCCTCGCTCTCTCTCGCTCCTTCTCTCCAACTCCACTCCGCTAAGGGTAGTTGAGGCTTAAGTTCACAAGCATTATGGTAGTTAAAAAAATAGTGTGTACCAGACGGATCTTTTTGCCCTTTCTCGCTATTCCCCCCCCTTTCAAACCCCCCGATCTTTTCTCCGCGGAGCTGAAAGAGGCGCGGGGGGAGGAGGAGAAAAGGTGGCTGAGAGAGAGAGAGAGGGGAAAGAGCCAAGACGAAAGTGGCGTGGGTTAATCTTGGGTGTGCCAAGGAACGATTTTGTGGGTTGGGTGGCTTGTGGCGTGGTAAGTGTGGAGGAAAGAGGGGGAGGGGGAGCGAAACTAAGGGCGTGAGTGTTGTGTTAATGTGTTTTCTATACTACTGTGTGTGTGTGTGTGTGTGTGTGTGTGTGGGTTTCTGGGGGCTTAGGCTTGGGGTGGTGCGACGGTTGGTGAGAAATGCTGGAGTGTGAGGGACGGGAAAGAAGATGTGGGTGTGTGTGGGGGATGAGGTGAGAAATGGGGAATGTGTTTTTTTTTCTGCTATATGCGGAAAACTTTTTTTTACTCTCTTTTCGTAGATTTTTTTTGGATTATCGGTTGAGAGAGTGGGTTGGTTTGGGTAAAACGGTGTTAAAAAAAAGTGCCTGGGAGAAGGGTAGTAAGTTCGTAAGCTATCATCCGGTCAGCATACACACATGTTGTAGCACGAAAAAGATGGAGAACCGAGAAAAAAACAAACAAAACATGGATAACCTTGCTCTAAAGCACTCTATCTCAAGCTTTGTTTAATACAGGGCCGATGGAACCTATATCCTTAACGTTTTGACTCAACATGCTTTCTTCACCGGTGGTATACCTGCACCAATGTCGCAACTTCTTTTTGCTTTTTGTTCTGCAACAAATAGCATGTATCATACTTGCCCCCCCCCCTCCCTCGAACCAACCAATGTGCCTCAGGCGTTTGTTATCACACACATACACACGCACACACGCGTGTGCCGCGCCTTGAGAAAGTATGACCGTTATTTCCATGCTGACTCGGACTTCATGGGTCCGTCGCCCGCCACACCGGTTTCTAACCGTAATCACAAAATATGCCGCTCGCCTCTTTATTTTCTCTCCCTTGTCATCAAATAGAACATGGACACGACATATGACATGTAAGCACGCTGATGCTGATCGTTGCCTGCACAGAGGGTAATCATAAGCGGCACTGACAAGGTGTTTGGACAATCTTGGCTCCATTTGTAGAAACCACACCCTGGTTATTTTACTTTCATGCAGTAATCACATCGTGGACACAAACATGTTGTACACACACGTACGGATTTGTTTTCCGGCTACTTTCCTCTAACCAACTCGTTTAATAGGTGGGGGGTGGGCGCGGTTTTTTTGCCGTACTTTTAGCTCGAAACACAAAATCCTGGGCCAAATGGGGCCCGTGTGCCGGTATCCCCCTTTAGTTTCGTCCATCCGAACGGCATCGCAATGATCCGTGGAGGAGATAACTAGTCATGTAACAAACAAGAAGGGGAAACAAAGAGTATTTGGAAAAAAATAAGGGAGACAGAAAGAGAGATAGAATGTATAATCGACAGGCGAGACATCCTGGTCTGTTCTGCAAAGGTAGCTTTATTGCCAATAGATACGCTCGAGTAAGGGCAAAAAAACAAAGTGACAAATACAATGAAGACGCTTTTTGGTGGGAAAAAAGACAGAGAAAGAGTCAGGCTCAGTGTAATAATCCTTACAATGAGATGCCGATCTCAATGGCTGCCGCAAATCTTTCTTTGGATAAACTTGACTAGCTGAATTGCACAGGACGAGCCTGGCGTGGGGTGGGTTGAAAGGAAAAACGCCTCATTCATGCATCTGAATCGTATCGTGCATCGTAGTATATCGTACAATTCTGGCGCCCAAACCAGTGTGTCGAACCAAAGAGAGAAACAACAACAAAAACGCCCGCTCAAACGCAGCAGACCTGTTGGTGAATTAGAACTAAGAAAGTAACAACAGGGTTTTAAAAATAGACTAGAAAAAAAAGAGGGCACGAGGCCCATAAGGATGACCACGCTTCGAGTGACTAGCGGATGTAGTTCATCGAGATTTCAAACTGGCGCGCTTCAGCAGGCGGCTGACTAGGTTTCCACGCGGCTTGGGCTTAACATAGAATGCACCTTTGGTGCCAGTCATATCGTCGCTGAAGACAAGATCCTCTAGCGCCAAAGGATCGTCTTTTTGAGGCTTGGGGCTGGACGAGGCGCCTTGCCAGCCATACAGCTGCTCTTCGTCTGCACGGAGATCTGGACGGGTCAAGGTCATGCGCAGAGTCATCTCCCGGTTTAGTTGGGCGTGTGTTGAGTGCACAGGCGATGGCATTGGCGAATCCAGGGACATGTTCCGGTGTGATGTTTGGCGAGAATGTATTCGAAAAGACACGCCGGTACTCGAGGGTGTAGCTGGCGATTCCATGTCGGCGACAGAGTCGGCATCTGATTCTAAGCCTTCGTTGTCATGGCGTTCATCCTCGAAGAAGGACAATTGCCCGTCTCTGAGGAATGTTTGCATATCCCGACTGAACTTGCAGGCATGAGTGTCAATCTGTGGCAGGTGGTAGTGCGGTGCAGGTGCAGCAGTCTCTGGTCTTGTTGATGATGGGAAGCCGAATTCTATGGCTTCGTCGAACTTTTGCGGAGAAGCAAGGTACATGCGTAGCTTCTTCCTCGCCTCCGGGTCCTGGTAGTGGGTGGCCTCGGGGTCGAATACAGGAGAAACGGGTGTGTGGACTGGCGTGCGGCCGGTAAGCGAAGAGGATTGTGAGCGTTGGTGCGGGCGGGTGTTGATACCACTAAGGAACGGAGGTCCAAAGGGAGAGGAAGAGGATCCGCCGCGGACAGGATAAGTGGTAAGGGACATTGTTCTTCTCATGTTGCGGGCGGGCATCTCTTTGGAGGTGAATATAGGAGTAGGGGTGGCCATGGTGTCGAGATATGAAGGAGTAGTGGAATGATGCGGGTCCTTTTCCAAGGCCGCAAAGAGGCCGCTCGGTCCGCTCAGTGGGCTTTCTGCTGACGATACTGAACGTGGTCTCAAGGGACGTCCGCGCTCGGCAGTGTCGAGGCCGGACGGCAGTGAAAAGTCAAAGTGGAAGTCGTCGAAGCGTTGTTGTGCCCACTCGGCGTCTGGGTCGTCGGCAGCGAAGGAATGTTCACGCCAGCCTTGAAGAAGCAACTGCTCCTCGCGCGAAAACAGCTGCTTGCGGACTTTTTCGGGTAGAGAGAAGAAAAACTCAACGTCGGCGAGCGAGATGTCGTAGTCGAGGACAGGTTTTTCGAGTCTGCGTCTGCGGCGTACGGCACCCAGTGACAACGTGGGCCGGTGGAGTCTGGAGGAACTGGCCTGGGAAGAGCGGCCTGATGTAGGCTCGTCCAAGGCCTGCCGTTGGATCTGCAGACGCTCCAGGGACGAAAAGTACTTTCTCCTAGAAGGGGACTAATTAGCGACGACATTCTCAAGGGTGCCCTCATGCTACTGCAAGGTACAGCCATTCATGGTGGGGGGTGGGTATCGGTATCTGCACGTGACGTATGCGCCCCTATCACACTGGGGAGCCAATCACAAGCGGCGAGTTGGACTTACTGGACCGAATCGGGCAGCGCCTCGAACTCCGCCTGTGGGAGAGGCAGCGTAGTGCTTCTGGGTTTGCTCCTCATGGCGTCGGCTGGAATAGTCAAAGTGGGTGATGGCGTTGTCGTCGGTTTGGAGCCAGTGACAAGAGGCATCCGGCCAAGGGGGGTGTGGTGTTTGTGGATGGCAGGACGAGGGATGCTCCGAGGCCGCCCAGGGCGCGGTGAGGCAAATGGGCCGGCTGTGAAGGGTGGTGTGCAAAAGTACTATGTAAGTATTGCCTGTCTGCGTGTATGTATGCAGGTATGGTGGGCATTCAATGGCGGGCCGGCAGGCTATCCGACGTGGAAACAAGGGCCAGGCTGGTGATGTTGAAGAAAAAGAAAGAAACTATATGGAGCGCGCAAGAGGAGAGGGTAGCAGCTGGAGGCTGAGTAGGCCAGAGCAGCAGGCAGAGAGCTCTAGTGAGGCAGCGTGGTTACGACAGATGCACCGGGTGGGCGGGAGCATATTGGGTGACGGGATGCCACATGTGCAGCTAAGGCAGCGGTGCAGCAGCAGTCTCCTGTCCAGTCCAGTCCAGTCCTGTCCATGGCGCCCACAGACACGGACGGACCTTGGTAGAGCCGTAGTGGTTCCTCCGAGAGTCAATCCACAGCCATGAGCCTCTGCAACTCTCTGCTCTCCACCATTGGCCTTCGCGGTTTCAGAGCCGCCGTCTCCACCCTCCGACCGCCTGCGGGTCTCGCGGCGCTCCTAGCGTGCGACACACCGCATGGCCGCTCCTATACCCGGTCCATGGGATCGCGCACCAGCTAGCCTTTGTCCATGGCTCCCGTATCATGGACGTCCAGAGCATGCGTATTTGCTTCTGGAATATTGCCTGCTGACCGCCCCTCCGCCCGCCCCAGAGCACAACTGCCCTCCAAGCACGTCCCGTGCAACGTCCCGGCCATGCGCTGTGCAACATGGCGCAAAACAAAGCAGCACAAAGCACTCACTCGTCTGCCCCCCGCCGCCTGATTCATTGCTTGCCCATGCTGGTCTTGTGGCATGCAATATCAAAGTGTGTGTGTGTGTGTGAATCAAAGTGAACAGAAAGTACAGCAAGTATCCAACAAAGGAAAGGGTATCTCAAGAGAAGCGCCTCCGCTACCCGCCGTCATCGGCCAACCGCCAGCCCCCAACTGCAACCAAACCGCCAGTCTCAACTTCCTCAGCTCGCCAGCAATCACTTCCTTCGGCACATACCCCGCCATGCCACCACCACCCCAAGCACTATAAAGTGGACTTTGCACACTTGTCCTTAGCCTACCCAACAGCCTGCACCCCGCCCTGTTCCGGCCCCAACCACTCCCTCCCTCCCACATACATACCCCCCTCCACCGTGCACATCCCATCTTGCTTGCTTGTCTAACGAAATCCCCCCTCGTCTGCAGGCAACTGCCTGTCGCTCTCCTCAAGCTCCTGCAATGTCATCTACACGTGACACGTCAGTACAAGGACCACCTGTCACAACCATACCACACCAAAACACTTACAGTAATACTCGTCGTCCAGCCCTTCGCGGCTAGGAAGCACTGGTTCCTCCAGCCCTACATCCTCGTACCGCACGTTTAGCAGCCGGATCTTGAGCCCATAGCCGCCGATAAATGTCACAAGCTTGTTGGTATTCGCCGTAATCGGCTGTTGGTTGAGAAGCATCAGCAGCCCATCAAGCCACTCGGAAGCAAGGGTATGGCTTTGAGGGTGCAGATGCAACAGTACGGTTTCTTTGCGTCCTGCACCCGACCCACTCGACGTCTGCCGCGCATGATTCGATAGAGCCATGTACCCGTGGATCGTGATCTTGGTCGATGTCGACGCCCGCTCATGGCCTGGCAGCGTCCTCACCGTACTGTCCGACGATGCTGTCGATGGGGCCGAGGCCGAGACATTGCTCACAACTGATGAGACAATGGACAAATCGACTGTTGATTTCTGTGTCAGCCGCCGCGAAAATGCAACTGGGCCCTGGGATGCACCTAGTGGAGCGTGTAGTACTTACTCTTTTCCTGCAGCGCATCTAATTTCGGCTCTGTCGCTGTCTTTTCGTTAAAGTCAGCGTAGTGCAGGTATCGCCGGTTGTGTGACAGTCGAACAAAGCGCCACGACGAAGGCACTGCACGGTTGCCAGCTACTGGACCGGTGTTTGTGCCAAAGTCTGCTCCCATTGGGAACCATGCACCTTGAAGCAAGCATCTTATCCGTTGCTCCTTGACAAACTGCAGCGCCTCGTGATTGAGCTCGTCGCGAACTTGGCTGTGGAGTGTTAGCTTGGCACGGCAGACAATAGGCAAACTGCATACCGCAGGTGATGACCCCATGCATCTTCATACGTCAGTTCAAGCACCTCCATCTGCAATTCTCGCAGCCGCTTGAGCTCAAACTCTACCAGCTCCTCTTCAATTTCCTTGACATCTTTCATTCGTGGTGCTTGCCCGACCACCTGCTCAATCAAGATGCGAATCAGTTCCTCAATCTTTTCAAAGTCTTCAATCTGCGCCCCTGCTGCTTTCCACAGTCGGATAAAGGCATTCAGACCACTCGTGTGTAACCTAGACCAATGCAGCAACAGGGGCTTAAATGCTCGGTCAAAGTTGGCCCGCGAGTCGGTATGGCGGAGAGACTCAACATCATCCAATTTATCCACTTCAAAATGCTCATATAGTGTTTGCGTGACTGAAAGACTCGCCCGAGCAATCGGACACCGTTGCTCGGCTGGCTCGGCCGACTGCTCCAGCAAAAGCTTCTGAAAGCCATCTTCGTTTTTATAAACAAAGTCGGTAATGTCCATAAGCCCCAAGAATCCAGTCCCGTTGAACTCCCACGCCGGTGACTCCGTCTCGAAACCCAGCCGGCTCCATTTTTCCGGATGGTGCTTCTTGCTTCCTTTTGGATCTGATGATGACCTGTCTGGTTGACTCGCAGTATGTAGGCCCCGAATAGCCCTTCGATGGTCGGGATTTTCCAGATCCACCTTTTCTTCCCTCCAATTCCTCAGCAACGTCTTTGTCAATGACTGAAAGTCCAACAATGGGTGAGCCAGATCTTGTATTGCGGTACTCTGCATGAGCCCATACACGCTCTTGATCACGCCCAGCTCCTGGAGTTGCTTTATGAATTTGGGCCATTCGAAGGCGGCATCGTTTGCAATGGCGTCACGCATCAACGCATTGATAAGCTGGAGGGAGTTTGCACAGAGCGCATGGTCGGCCGACGCAATTTTTTCAACCAAGGATGATAGGAACTGGGGTTGAGCGTCGACGGCTGGCTTGAGGCGCTGGAAGCCTGTGGTGCCCGAGTGAGAGCTTCGGTGTGAGGGATGACCGACGATTACGGCGAGGACTGACATGGCACCTCGGTTGACGTTGACAAGTGGTTGTGCGACGACCAGGTCGACTATCTATTGTGCATTGGTTAGATATGCTCACACACACAACAGTCTCTCCTCTCTTGACTTACTCTTGCAATCAAATCATCCGTGACATGGTCCCATCCTTTATCCAGCTCGAGCAGGCGGGCCAGAGAAGTGAGACAATAGGCCAGTGTATTTCCGGTCGAGTGTAGGGCCAGGAAGCGCAGCTTGGGCAGGCCCCCTTCGTAAATGAAGACATCAGCGAATGAAGGGTCGCCGATGGCATTCTGGAGTTTGAAGACGGCCATCTTGCGCACCGACTCCTCCTCCGCGCCGAGGCGGGCGACCAATTCAGAGACATTGACGCTGTCCATCTTCTCCAGCTTTCAGCGTGCAGGGGGTATCACAGTGTGGGGTATGTGGTAGTAGTGCTGCGGATGGCGATGTTATGCCAATCACGCGCAGGCGGCGAACATGACACAGACGCAGGAGTGCCAGGCCGGGGATATATGCAAGCGCTGGTTGTGCGCAAATGCTGCTGTTGTCGCTGTTCTCGGTGCCGTCGCCCGTCGCGTGTCGAGAGGAGCGTGAAGGGGAGACTTGGCGGCACGTGAAGCGCGTCGTGGGGGTCAAGTCACCCGGTCCCCTGTCGGATGCCTGATTCGGCCGCTAGTCAGGTACGCCGAGCATGTGCCTTGTTTCTAGGCCCGACAACAGCCCGTCCGTCCTCTCTCGTCGTCGTTGCCGTCGTCGACTTCGTATTCAACAACATTGAGCCCAACCCTCCGTCGCTCTCTTCTCCCCTCGAGACCCACATCTCACACCCTGTCTGCAGCCGCTGCCTTGCCCGACACGTGTTGTGTTGTTCTGGTACCAGTGTCTCTTGGTTGCATCATCGCACGTTCCACCTCTTTTCGCCTTCTTCAAGACCACCAGTACTCCTCCTTCACCTCGCCGTAAAACCATCACCATAACAACAACCACAACAACAACCGCCGCAACCGCCACCATGGTATACATTACCTCCGATCTCTTCGGCCCCAGCACCACACGCGATTGGCAACAAGACAACACATCTCACAATTGGCACACCATGGCCCCCGACCAGCCCGCCGCCGGTCTTGGCAAGAGAAAGCGACAAGCAGGCGACGACAAACCACAACTCTACGAACGCCCATGTACTTCCCTCCACCCTTCCGGCACCGACATCACCCCAAAGAGCATCCCGCGTCACCACCGCTCCTCTATAAGCCGCGACGCCTCTCGCCTCCACCACCCCAATACCCCGCCATTCGACTCCAACAACACTCTCTCCTACGCCTTCCTCCCCTCAAAGGCCCACGACTTCTCGTCAGACCGCCGCCCCGTCAAACAACTCAAACGCTTCAGTCCAAAAGCCCCCCTCGTAAAATCAACCTCGCACCTCATGGATATCGATCTCGACGTTCAATCTCCTACTACTACTACCTGTGGGACCCCGGCACATCACCATGCGGTCTCCGACCTGCGCTCGTGCCATGCCTGCCAAAAAGCGCCGACGCGAAAGAAGGATCTGGAAAATTACCTAGACTGCAGGAGGTGTGAGGGACGGACGTGCTTCATTTGCGCCAGGCAGTGTGTTGGCTGTGCCAAGGCGATTTGTAAAAAGTGCATAGTGGAGGTCGGGGAAGAGGGAGATGCCTGGTGTTTGGATTGTTATTCGCGGACCATCAATTCCTGAACATACGGGAATTATTTTGAAAAAATTTCCCAGTTTGGACTTTTTTTCCTTTTCTTTTTTTAGCCTCCTTTTCTTTATATTTAGTGCTCATTTGATCCTTTGGCGCTGACTTTTTCGCCTTCTTTTACTTTTGGATTTTTTGTTTTGTTTGCGTTCCTTATCGTACAGCGAGCGTTTACATCTTTTCCTTTGGCGTTTCTTCATCTCATCAACGTACCGATGCAAGCGATAATTAAGAACGATTTTCCTACATATTTTTTTGGATACAGGGCATGTACATAGTAAGTACGAAGGATCGTCATACATTATGAACCTAGGCTGGACCACGAAGTAGTCGTGGATATAGATATGAAGTACATAGTAACGAGTATACAAAAGACCGACCCGAAACAATAAATTCATGTCTAGTATTGATAATTGCCTTACAAAGTCAGCATCATGAATTCCATCCTTTTCTTACTCCTCATCATCGGTATCCTTCTCCTCCACCACACTCTCCGTCTCCCCCGTCGGATACCTTCTCAGCCGCGAACTTGCCCCCTCACCATCCTCAGCCTGACTATTCTTTGTGCTGCGCCTACGACTCCTACTGCTCACAACACCTGGAAACAATTTCGGCTCCCCGTCCAACGTGACGGAACTAGTTGAACGCCTTAGTCCCGTGTCTGGTTCCTCTAAACCGGCAGGTGGGGCCTGGCCGTCTACCGGCTGCTGGACTACAGGCACGGCGTTTGGGTTGACGGTCATGTTGTTGTTGCGGTGCGAACGGTCGGCGTTGCTGCCGTCGTGGGCGCTGGTTGGTGACGCGGGTTGAGTTTGCGGGTTGATTGCGTCGGCGGTGGATCCAGAGGGCTTGAGGCGGGCGACTTGAGCTGGAGGGAGCATGGAGAAGATTTGTTTGCTACCCGCAGCTGAGGCGTGCGTTGGTGACCCGGGGAACGGGACTCCTTGGAGTGATTTGGGAGTCTGGGGCACCTCGGATTGCAGATTAGAGCTGGTTAGGTCGTGGCTGCCGGCCTGGGCTGCGCGCGTGTAGCGATCTATCCTGGGTGGTGTTAGTATGAATATCTTAGAAAAGCTTCAAGCGCAAAACTTACATAGCTAATTCTCCCATGAGAGTCTCATGTCGGAATGCTTCGCGGATGCTGGGCACATTGGACCTTGCCATGTCGTTACCCGCAACACCGGGGAGATGGTAGTTGCTACCCAACCACTTTTGCTTGACTACATGCTCAAAGCCACTCTGCTCAACTGAGTGTTTGGCTAGCTCACACATATCTACAGCACTCAGCTTGTAGATCTGCGCCGCGACTGAGTACTCTTCAATCAGAGGCTCCTTGGTAAAAGCAAACTGGAGAGGATCATCCGTTGACAACGAAACATTCAAACCCCGTCTGAAGTAGCTCATGAACGGGTTTCGCTCATACGCCAGGAAGAGTGCGTTGTTGCTGAGGGGCGACATGGCCACTCCAATCTGCTCGAGGTAGAAAATGTATTGGAGAAGAGGCACCTTTCGGAGCAATAGGCCATGGCTGATGCTGTGGCAGCAAAGAACCGCTGCAGCCAAATGATCGGTATCACCAGCCTCACCACAGTGCGGACGGAGGAGGAACGTGTTGAAGCCCCGCTGTTTTCTCCAGACGTTAAGTGACGACATGTTGGCAAACAGATAGTACATCCAGTAGCTGTACGGCGGGTTCTGCTTCGTAGACCACTCGCTCGGGAACGGGAACTTCTTGTACACGCGGCGCTCGACTTTGCTTTCGTCGTCAACACTATCAAAGCCAATGACCCTCTGCAAGAAGATGTGGAGCTTGGGGTGACTTGAAGGGTCTTTGGTGACTTCAAACAGAGGCTGGAATACATTTACGATAACTTGCTGGAAGTTATCCATTAGACCAGTTGCCTTGTATACATCAAACAAGCGCGGAACTTGAATCAGCCATCTAACGTTGGGCGAGAAGAGCTTATTGTCAACAACCCAAGCCGCAAGCTTGTCCCACTCGTCAATGTCTCGGCCGTAGATGGAAATGCGCCATTCTACGAACTGGTACTTGCTCGCCTCGAGATCGGAAATGACTTCTTTAGTGATTTCAGCCAAATAGCGGCCTTTGACAAAATTGTCTGTCTTCAAGAAAATGGTCCTTAAACGCGATTCACCAACTGGGTTGTACTTCAAGTTGAACTTGTCAAAGCGATGGAATGAGTCGGTATGAGCCTGTCTGGTTAGCATTGTCGTATCAAAAGCGTCAAGTCGTTACTTACATGCATATCTAGTGTGTCGATACTCAGATCGTACGCCGTCAAGTTGATGGATTCAAATACTTCCCTCAGCGTGAGATGCTTGCCATCACGGTACAGCACTACCTCGTCAGGGGACTTCTTCATCTTGGACTTGATAAAGCGCAGCAGATGCTTCTGGTTCATGCATGCAGAATGGTGCACGTGCGTATCGACCTTTCGTACATTGTAAAAGTCTCTGTGGGGCACCTTCTTGGTATCGGCTGTCTCCTGGTACTCGTTGAGCAGATAGTAAAGATTGAACTTTCCCTCGAGGTATTGGAGACGGCGGAAGGCGAAACTCTTGCTGGGTCCATCGGAAGATATCTCCAGAATGGAATCGAGATCAATGTAGAATTCGCGCAACGTCGGGATCGCAATGATGGGAGTATCAAGCTCAGCAGATTTAGCAGTCTCATATACTTGGTATACGCCGCTTTCGTCAAGCCGGAATGACATCTCACCAGGACCGGGCACGGGAAGGCACTCTTCCAAGTGGAAATCTTCGCCGATGTTGGTACCCATTTTACGAGGTGGCTTAGGCATCTCATTCGGCTCTAGAATACCACTGTTTTGCATGCTACTAGCTGCATTGCGACGCTCTTTGGAGGTGTCATTCCACACAGGTTCTGGAGGAGATGGGTAGATGCGCCAAGCTGGATCATCTTTGGGGTTGTCGAAGGAGCGTTGCAACGACAGGCGGATGTACTTGTGGCGCAGATCGAGCACTTTTTGAATGTTTGCGTAGATGGAGCTGAGCTCAGCAGTGATGCTGGAATCAGACATTGCGAATCCTCCTGCCCCTGTTCCAACGCCTATGCCTGCACCTGCACCGTGGATCCCTTGTTCAGCCAGAAGAGGCTTGTGTTCATGAGGGAGGTTGGGGTGTTGGCCATGCGATCGGGCCTGTTGATCAGCCTGGAGAAAATGGTCGGTCTCATCGTGGGCACCTATAGGGTCAGGGACGTGCTGGGTCATGTGCCGACGAGGTTCATGCGACTGCTCTGCGTGTGACGAGCCGATGGGTATGTAGGGTCGTTGGACATGGTTGGCATGGCTGACGTTGCTCTTCCGCGAGCGAGTACTCTCGGCCCTGCTGAGAAAGTCGACACCGTCAGTGCCACCGAAATTGGCAGGGAATGTCTTTGCGCGCATGGCGGGGCTGTGCATGTCTGCTTGGGGGCCGCCGTGCTGTGTCTCGAGCTGATGCCTTTGGTAGAATTGCTTGGCTTCGGTGTGGCTCATTTGCTTCTCAGCAGTGTAGTCATAGAATGCAGTCCGGCGCTGTTTGTCGCGGGGGAGTATGCCGTCATCGTCGTCTTCCATGTTGGGACCGGCACCTCGCTGCGATGCTGAAGTCGCACCATAATTGGTTTTTGTACGCCCGCTGCCGCCAGGCTCTGTGTCCGAGTCGTCTAGATCGAGCTCGTCTTCCTCTGACGAAAATATATGACCGTCGTGGGCAGGGCCAAAGTCTGGCGACGCATCTGCGTCTGCAGAGAATGCTCCTGCAGGACACATTAGTATGGTTGGGCAAGAGATGGAAGGGTCAGCGAGGGCTACCTTTCAGCATGGTGGCATTGAAGGGTGGGAGTTGTGAATGCCAGGGTGGATGCAGAACTGCGAACAAGACTCACACACACAAGCAACGCGCATCGGACCCCGCCGACCAGTCGCCTTGCCCCGTGCCATTATGTCAAATATGGACTCGATGACTACTGCATGTCACGCCTGCTCCTAGCGGCATGGCGAGAAGGACTGAGCAAAAAGACATGGAGGCTGCACGCAGGTATGATTGCACTCAGGCAGGTCTCCCACGGCCATGTGCACATAAATACTGCGTATGGACTAATTCGCTAGGCCCCTCACCCTCGGCTTGCAATGTTGTCGGCGGGGGGGGGGGAAACTCGACCATACCATGTCCGTCGCCCGCCCTGGCTAGGATCGACGCTGCGTCACGTGAGCGTCCTCTAGCGCGGGACTACCATGCATGTCCAAAAATTTACCGCATTTCGACTTCTGGAATTTCGAGTGACTATCGCCAGCCTTTGTCCAATCGCCACCATGTAAGACATACCCATACGGCACATTGACCATGCATACTTACCACTCATGAAGGTTTCTTCTCCGTCGTGCTGCCGCCCGCGCCATCAGTGCCTCGCCCTCCAAGGCGTATCTGGTGCAGCCGCGCTCCATTACTACTCTCATACCCTCAGCGTTCCGTCCAAGGCAGCAACAGTGGTCAATTGCCTCTTTCCAACGAAGATTCGCTAGCGATGAGGTGACCAAAACCGACTCAGCTGAGGCTGCTGCCGCAGAAGCCTCCGAGAACTTTGCCCAGACAGCAGCAGAGGCGCCTGTCGAGGACAACTTGACGCCCGCACAACAAGAGGCACAGGCAGAGCCTACCGACAAGTCTGCCACTGTCGGCATTGATGCGCTCGAGGCTGCCGCAGCCCAGCCTAGCCCGCGGGGCAAGAGGGAACGAACATCCAAGAACATCGAACCCCACAACGTGCTTTACATTGGCAACCTCTACTACGAAGTTACCCCAGACCAGCTGAAGCGTGTCTTCTCTCGCTTTGGTGATATTGAGAGTGTCAAGATTGTCTACGATAACCGGGGTCTTAGCAGAGGGTAATATTCTCCACTCCAAATGGCTCAATATTGACTGACGCCGATTATTTAGTTTCGCCTACGTCGAATACAAGAACGTCAGTGATGCGCAGGCTGCTATTGACAACCTCGACATGCAGGTGTTTGAAGGCCGCAATCTTGTCGTTCAGTTCCACACGCCCAAGTATCAGGCGGCAAAGGGGCGCGCATCCAATGGCAACGAGCCCAACCCTCCATCCAAGACGCTCTTCATCGGCAACATGTCGTTTGAGATGTCAGACAAAGACCTCAACGACCTCTTCCGCGACATTCGCAACGTCTTGGATGTACGTGTTGCCATTGACAGGAGAACCGGCCAACCGCGAGGCTTTGCTCATGCAGACTTCATCGATGTGGCCAGCGCCACCCGTGCCAGAGAAGTTCTCAAGGAGAAGGTCATCTATGGCAGACAACTCCGCGTCGATTTCAGCAAATCCAACACAGACACACAGCGTGAGCGTGGTAAGCGCCAGGATTCGTTCCAGGAATAGATGAAAAGCAGATGACGATACGAGATGAAATGTAAAACAAATATTGAAGGGGCTACCTCTCATTTGGAGGATAGACGAATGACGACTGCAAGGGGATGGGCCTCTCTGTACGATATGTATGACTGGGACCTGTGTGTGGTCAGTTATGCCCCATGTTGATATACAAGTTGCTTGTTTCATAGTGGAGAGCGTCCGGCGTTGCCATTCCCCTCTTCATTTGTACATCATATAGGGTGAAAAATCCATGCGTCTTTGATGGTTTCTAAATAAGAGTTTAATCGATGCATCGATGTCAAGCCAATGCCGTGGTTGCATGCAGGGCTGCGGCGAAGTGTGGACCAGGATTCGGCAAGCGCGACCGGCTGCGACCTCGGCTTGCCCCGCGTACCATCTCCACCCGGCATCTGCTGCTGATCAATTACTCGACGCGCGGGCTCCGCCTACTCACCTCCAGCGTCCTTATTTGTCTCTCTGTTCACCACTCCTTCTTCGTCGCGCCGTAATCAACTCATTGACATTATTCACTCATCACAGATTTAGTCATGTCCTTCCTCGGCGGTGCCGAGTGCTCCACGGGGGCCAACCCGCTCAGCCAGTTCACCAAGCATGTACAAGATGACAAGTCTCTACAACGCGACCGCCTGGTCGGGCGCGGACCAGGTGGTATGCAGGAGGGCATGCGAAGTCAGCAAATGGGCGGTCCTTCCGATGGTGTAAGTTAGCAACAGCGCATGCAAACAATGCAGAGTAGAGAAAATATGCCATGACTAACCCGAGGGCCGGCAGATGATGAACGAGTTCATGAATCAGAACGTACAGCTCCCACAAGGGCCCGGACCTGCGTCACCCTTTGCCATGGAGCAGATGCGTAGAGAATTAGAGCGAGCTCAGCATAGCGGATCGCCAGCATGGGCAGCCGAGTTCGATCCGGGCATGCAGGCTCCCCAAATGGGCCCAGCCATGCAAGAGAGACCAGCGGGCTTCAACCCTGCTGAATTCGCAAAGTTCCAGCAAATGAATTCTGCCGCTCGGACCGTGAGCCCTACAACCGCATCACAGCCTTCCATGTCGGCGTACCAGCAGCCCATGTACGGCATGGGCATGGGTATGGGTATGGGTGGTATGGGCATGGGCATGGGCATGATGCAACAGCCATATGCACCACAAAACTTTCAACAGCCCGTACAGGACTCAGGAAAGGGCAAAGGACGCATGGTCGAACTCGACGACCATGACTGGGAAGCACAGTTTGCGCAGTTGGAACAGACCGACCAACAGAACCTGGACGCGCTCGACGAGGAAGCCAACAAGGCTATGGAGGCTGAGCTGAACGAAATGGACAGGTCAGTAGAGAAAGACGCCGTTGACTTCGACGATTTCGAGTCCGTCTGGAAAGGAATTCAAGCTGAGACTGAATACGCTAGGCAACTTGCCAACGAGGAGAGATTTGTCGAAGGGCACATGGGCGATCTCGACCAGTGGGAGGGTTTCGATGGTCTCAACACACATCCGGTCCGCGACCCGTCTATGGGCGACTATCTGTTTGAGCAGGAGAACCTCTTCAAGAATGTCACAAATCCGTTCGAGGAGGGTGTCAAAATCATGGAAGAAGGTGGAAACTTATCATTGGCCGCCCTGGCATTTGAAGCAGCAGTACAAAAGGATCCAAACCACATTGCGGCTTGGGTGAGGTTGGGTGAGGCTCAGGCGCAGAACGAGAAGGAAACACCCGCCATCCGTGCGTTGGAACATGCGTTGAAGCAAGACCCCTCGAACCTCGAAGCCCTCATGGGTCTGGCTGTATCTTACACAAATGAAGGCTACGAGAGCACAGCATACCGGACATTAGAACGCTGGTTAGCAACCAAGTACCCCTCTCTCATCAAGGAACCGCTCTCGTCAGATGCCGAGATGGGCTTCACAGACCGCCATCTACTCCACGAGAAGGTTACCAATCTTTTCATTCAAGCCGCACAATTATCGCCGTCTGGTGAGCAGATGGACCCCGACGTACAAGTTGGCTTAGGTGTGTTGTTCTACGGCGTAGAAGAATACGACAAAGCCGTCGATTGTTTCGGCGCCGCCCTCGCTTCCACCGAATCCGGTGTCTCGAACTCATCATCACAAGTACACCTCCTCTGGAACCGCCTCGGCGCCACCCTCGCAAACTCGGGCCGAAGCGAAGAAGCCATCGACGCTTACTCACGTGCTCTCGCCCTCCGTCCAAACTTCGTCCGCGCGCGCTACAACCTCGGTGTCTCGTGCATCAATATCGGCTGCTACACTGAGGCAGCACAGCACTTGCTCGGTGCTCTGGCTATGCACAAGGTCGTAGAGCGAGAAGGCAAAGAGAAGGCGAGAGAAGTCGTTGGCGACGGCGTGTCAGAGAGTCAACTAGACAACATGATTCATCAGAACCAAAGCACAAACTTGTACGACACCCTCCGGAGAGTGTTTGGCCAAATGGGACGAAGAGACTTGTCGGATATTGTAGGGCCAGGCATGGATGTCGAGCGTTTTCGTGGCGAATTTGAATTTTGAAGCGGAGGATAGTACGGACAGCATTCCTACTAGTGCTCAGGTAAACGAAGGAAACGCATCGGGGCGAGATGATAGCGAGTCGATGGTGCAACCCGAATTCCTGGACTCAATCCCGGCGCCTTGTGCCGAATTCGACGATCACGGCGGTCCCTGCTATGCCGACTACTTTGAGCAAATGGACATGACGGACGAGGAACGGGCTTCGTTTAGATGGGAATGCCTGGATGCGATTAGAAGAGATTTTGGGTTATAGATGAAAATCAAGCCTTAATCACAAAAGACATAGTTACACACATTATATAAGAAGCTCAAGTAGGCAAACGTTGCAATGAGATTGCTTCCACATTGGTTGTTGAGATGGCGAATATATTCTTCTCACCATGCAACTCTATGACTAAACGCTAGGAGAACAAAAAAGGGCATTTTGCGTGTTTCTATGGGCAGCCCTTTTCGGGGACCGCTTCCCTCCGGCTTCACAACCCCCCTAACAAAAGGACAGGAAAAAAAGTGATTGTAGAATACATGAGACCTGAACTGCACCCCTACACCTATACCACTCCATCCACGCTGTTGCACCGTTTTTTTTTGCCGTAAGAAGTAGTAAAAAATTCTGGATTAACAAAAGAAAAAGAAAGAAAGAAAAGAAGTCTTGCGTTCTCCAAACCTCGAAGAAAACCCCCTCCCTCCACATATCTAAATCGTCAAAAGAAGGTTATTTAGCAAAGTGGAGATCATATCCGAGCCATTTTCTTGCATTGACTTGAGCAACGTCGAGACCCGGGTTACCGTACGTAAGCGGCGCAAAGAAGAGGAAGCACCAGAAGACAGCGGCGAGAATGACGCCCGTTGCAATCCAGCTGCCAATGAGACTCGATGAAGCAATACGCTCGCGAACGGGGCGGGAGGGAGTTCGGCGATGGCCCTTGACGGCACTAGATACTTCAGGATCCTGGGGTTCGATGCAGAAGACAAACTCGACAAGCGCGCCAGTGACGAGGCAAGAGGCCAAGTGCGCGGGGAGGTAGTGGTGAAGGAAAAGCTGGCGTCCCATGATGTAGAAGGGGATGTAGTGAGCGGCCCAAGTGAGGAAGAAGAAACCAGTCGAGTTGTAGAGACGAGAGCGGGTGCCTACAGGTAAGAATGTTAGAACATCCCCATCGAATACAAGCGACTTTACTAAGTGAAGAATTTTGGGCTGTTTGTATGAGAGAAACAACTTACGGTCATCGAGAGCATCCATACCACGGCGGAGAGCCAGCTGGTCTGCGCCAATGATACCGACAAAGACGGCCAGAAGCGAAGAGGCAAGCCACCATCCAATAGGATTACCCAGGAAGTAAATCTGCTGGCGGGTATCGTTCTTGGTCCAGAAAGACACACCACGCAGAAGGAAAGGCCAGGAAATAGGTTGCGATGCATAGGGGTGGGAGCTCGTAAGGGCGTTGTTGTGATGGAACATGGCACGTTGAACCTCGACCCACTTCCTCAAGAAGCTCAAGTGCTTGACCTTCTTGGGCTCCTTCTTGTTGCGCTCGTCTTCGGCCGGGAGCGAAGGAATGTCATCGACATACCAAACGTTGCTGGATTGCTGAACAGCCTTGTTTCCATTGATCTCAGCCTGTTTGTAGGCCCAGTCTGGCAAGGGCTTGGAGTGGGTCCACATGGCGACCTTGGTGGGGACGTGGATCAGTTTGAAGTGGGTAGACATGGTCTTAAAGTCACCCTTGCCCTTGTCGACCTTGATCTGGAAAAGCGTGTCATTGTAACGCGCACCGGCGGCATCCTCTAAGCTCACAGTCGTGAATTCCTGGTTAGTGGGGTAGTAAGGTGATGCGACATCGTGAGTCAAGAGCATAGTGTTGGTAACCAAATGGCGAAGACGAACTACGTCGCCTACCTGGACGCGCTGGCCAGCCTCGGCTGGAAGAGGAGTAGAAGGAAGGACCTGCCAGTGGTTGTTGGTATCGTTGTGGGGGTAACCGGTTACTTGCTGTCCTTGAGAAGAGACACGTCCATCCTCGTATCGGAGTGGGTAGCGGTCTGGGTGGCTGTGAAGGTAGACCTTGGTCTCCTTGTGGCGGATGGTGATGGCATCATAATAATTGATGCTAACAGACTGAAGGCTCATGACGTTGTCGCTCAAGGTTTCCTGGAACTCTGGAGTCATAAAGTCGTCACCAGGTCCGGAACGAGTAAGGATGGCGAAATGAACCTGGAACCAGAAGAGGTAGAGGAAGAAGGGGACAATAAGCAGGCCGACAAGACGAGCAACAAAGTGCTTGCCAAACTCGACTAGAGTCAATGCACCCTGTCGTCGATTGACGTCCATCAAGTCCCAAAGATCAATCAAGACCGGGACACCAATCGAGAAGAAAGTGAATACACCAACGTATTTGATGGAGATGACGCAGCTCAGGTTGATACCAGTCAACAGGAGCCACTTCCACCATTTCTGACCAAAAGGTGCATGTCTTTCCTTGTAAAAGCGAATGTAAGATAGCACAGAGAGAGCCATGAAGAAGATGAGGGAGGCATCGAGGAGGATAAGGCGCGTCTGGCCAATGTGGGCGTTGTCGAGGAGCATGAGTCCAGCAGCGGTGACGCAGGCAGGTAGCGAGTATCCGGACTCCCACATGATCATGAAGACAATGGGAACAGTAAGGGCGCCGAGCGAGGCAGGCATGGCACGGTATGCGACATAGGGAACCTTGTTGGTGATGTACGAGTCACCAATGTTCTCGAAGAGAAACTCGCCCTTGTATCCAACGAGCCATCCAGCAAAAGCAAAGAGGAGCTTTCCGAGCGGTGGGTGGACATCGAAGAAGTAGGTACGTTGCAGATAGTAAGAAGCGAACTGCGCGTGCGATTAGCCCTGTGGTCCAAGTACCCGTCGCGCCCCATTGCGTGCGAGAGACACATGTGGCGGCTTCTGGACACGGAGACATACCTTTCCAAAATGGACCTCATCAAAGACAACCTGGTCGGGATGTCTGATGCCCCAAAAGCGAGTGATGAAGGCGAGGACGGTCATGATGGTGATGGCAAGCCTGTAGTCCCATTCGCTGCCCTGCTGCGCGGGCTTGTAGGGCTTGCCCTTTGCGACGACATTGGCAACCTTCTCAACCTTCTCAGACAGGGCTTCTGGGTTGGGTGAGACAGGTCGCTTCTTGTCTTTGCCTGCTCGCTGGCGGATGCTCCCAGCAGGTGAGGAGGACATGTTGGGCTGAGGCTCTTTGAAGCTACCTGTTGAATTGCACGTTAACGCGTGTGGTTGGGGGATTTGAGCATGCGATGGCGTCCGCTTACCTCCCACAAGAAAAGAAAATGGTTGATGGAATTGGAAAGAGAGTCGGGGGCTGCTCTGCAAGAGACAGGACACCTAACTACGAGTTCAGGGTCTGAGAGGACCAGTCCGCAATGGGCGTCTCGCTTACGACCTCCCCCTGCATTGGCCGCTATTGGCCAGCCCGCCATTGCAAGCCCTATTTGGGCGAGGGGCAGAGAGGGGGCGCCGAAGGTCTGGTCAAGCCACTCGAGTATCTATTCTTGGCATCATCACGACGCGGACCGGCGCGCCCGGTGCTACTTCGTTTATTATATTACCGCGAGCGCTATCTCTCATGCCCTCGCCCACCTGCATGCACATGTCTATCTTTGCCATCCTTGTTCTGTGTAAACGGACACTCACCCACTGACCCCTCTGTGCATCAATTGCCCTTCTTCTGCTTCTCTGCTTCACGCTTCCTCTGCTGAGGTATACGGTACGTGGTCTCCCACCCGTACAGTGCTCCAGCTCCAAACACCATCGCGGCGCCCACCTTCATTAGTCCGCTCATGTGGTTTCCGAATAGCCAGATGCTCAGTAAGAAACTCACCAGCTTCCTGATGTTGAGCACAATCGTGACGGTAACAGCAGAAGTGTTTGCACTAAGCATGTTGACACCAGTGATGCACAGTAATTGCGTGAGTGCGTTGGCAGTCAGGTATATGATGTGCTGGGATGTTGATGCGAGAATCGTGCTAACCAGCGGCGGGAGAGAGGCGGCCATCTTGGGAGACACCTGAAATGATTGCGATGACTGCAGACGGTTGAACTGCTGCGTCAGGGTCGGGGCGAATCCGGCAAAAAACGGAATAGACAGCAAGTGTGAGTAAAAGAGGTTGGCCTGCCAATCTTTTCCGTGATCTCTGTAGATGTCTTCAACATAAGCTCCCATCCACGCTGAAAGCAGCTGTGCGATTAGTAGGACCACAAGACCAGCCTGTAGCGACGAGTTTGACATGCTGCTGCTTGACGTCTCCAGGTTTTTGCCCTGTCAACTGTCAGTGTCTGCAAACCCAAGCAGCAAAACCCACTGCCGTACCTTTGACTGAGCATCCGCCCACGCAGAAACCATGACACCGAGCGTTAAGACTGCAACCGAGAAAACCTGCAAAGGTGTGTACTTCTTGCCACGCATCCACCCAGCTATCATGGTAGTGACACTACCAAAGCTCCTGAGAATAATGTGGACCGGAACCGAGATGTTGAAAGCAAATGCCCAGTTGTTCAACATGTTGACTGTGAAGAACAAAGCTGCGCTCACACACCACTTCCGGAATGGTACTGGTGAGCTCCTCATATAGTAACGACCATTGGGATCGAATTGGTAGTGTAATGTCGAGAGACAAGTGAATACGAATTGAAACAGCGTGATCAGCAAACCGCTATTAGGCTCTTGTCTGTCTCTACATTAGCACCTGTATTGTGCGCATTGGGCATGCTGATGTTACTTTACGATTGCCTCGAGACAATAGACCTTGTATTTGTCAGTATTGAACATGCAAAAGGCAATAGAAGGACTAGGGTTTTGTTCTCACATTTGCGCAACATCCTCCAAAGATGAGCGAGAAACTGCTGACAATTGGTGCGATGGCTGCCATGATGGCCGAGTGCTGAGTCAGAGGCTATAACGTGACTACCAAATTTGAGGGTTAAGATGTAGGGTCGACCAAGCCAGGATGCTAACAGGATTGGTGATGATTAGACACGTAACATGAGTGACTTGTGGCTGCCTGCGGGTTGATGCTTCTTGCCAAAGCCCGCAAGCGCAGCGTGAGAAGCTCACTCACAGAAATGAAGAATTTGTGATGCGTTATCTACCAGCTTATCATGACTTGCACTTTGCTGCAGTTGGTTGAACACAGGTGGGTGTCGCGAGACGCAACGTGTAAGTCTGGGATGAGATGAGCCTCACGGGCGCTAACGTGGGATTGACCGTCAGTCTTACCGAACTAAGCAAATTTCGAGAACATGGGCATCAGAGCCCTTTTGTGCCGAGACCGAACTCCACGGTCATGGTTAATTTTGACTTTGCCTAACATGCAGTCAGATCGCGATTGTGGAGTTTGCCCCAACCTATACTTGGCACGATATTACCACCGCCTCAGCAGCGGCTCACTACAATAAATCCTCGCCAAACACCAACAGCAATAATAACTCATTACCATTTCTCTGGTCATTTCTCTGCACCACTCAGAGTCATTATCATGGTGTTGCAATCTACACTACTCAGCAGCTGCCTATTCGTTGACCACATTGCGTCGTCCGTCATCCGCATTCCCACGCCCTTTCGCCATAAATGCTCCTATTCTATCGTCCTTAGCGCCACCAGGCAAATCAATGCCAACCGAAAGGAAGATCAGAGGGTAAGGATGGTCAAGCACCCAACAAGTGTACGTTCCCGCTCATGGAAATTCTTTGGCGATGCTTGTGAACGAAGAATGCCATTACAATGCCGAGAAGACGAAAAGCTGTGCCATGTTAGTTTGTACTCTTGATGCCCAGGCGTACGCGCCCAACTCACATTGTTTGTTGCTGCTATAGCAATACTGTCCTCGAACGGATGCCAGCTCATGTGCAAAATCTTCTTGTTGAAGTCAATCTGGTCCGCGTCGGTTTCCTTCCTCATACGTTGACCTTGCCCAATAGCGCCGGCAGCAGGGCTACCAGCTCTTGATCCACCCTTCTTACCGGCGTTGCTGCCAGTCGGGCTGCCTGACGAGTTCATCGGTGTTGGGATTCCAACCTTCTTTGCTTTGAACGCAGATTTGTCAGCTTGTAGCACAACCTCAGTATCCTTGTCGTTATCTGAAGGATATATCATGAAGTTGTTGTTGTAGCTGCCAGTCATGACATTCTTTGCGTCTCCAGAGAAAACAACCTCGAACTTGTCAAAAATACTGTCGTTTTCGTATGTGTCGCATAGCCTCGGTCGCAGATGTTCGTGAATGGGGATCGTCTTGACTGGTGTCTTCTCCATGTTCACATCCCAGATCTTGACGGTCAGGTAGTCGCGAGACAGGATGTACCGTCCATCATGTGAGAACCGTACGTCAGAGATGGATGAAATGATTTCGGAGAAGAATGACCTTGATGAAGGGTCTTCTTCTTGTTCAAACTCTGCAATCTATGCGTTAGGATTTGGCTTTGATATAAGGGGCCGTAGCTGACTTACGCTTCGCATGCTGGTCACACAGAGCACTCTCACGCATGTCGGCGAGCTTGATCGTTCCCTTGGAGCTCGCATACATGAACCAGTTGCAGCTGATAGGGTGGAACTCGGCAGCTGTGATGACCTCTGTAAGCTCCTCCATGTTCGCTGGCTTGATGTCGACAATGTTGAAGCTCTGGTCCTGGATGTTGAGGTTCCAGAGGTTGATCCGCAGATCGTCGCTACTAATGAACGTCTCTCCGTCACTGTTCACAGATATGCTGTTGATGTGGTATGCATGCGCATTGGCATACGTCTTCCGGGGTACTGCTGCGACTACGGTATCGTGATGTGTAAGTCGGGGGAGCTTCAGGTCCGTGGCACTGCGGAACTGTGCATTTGGGTTCCTGACGGGACCGCCGCCACCAGCAACCCCACCTCCAGGCGTTAACTCGTGTGACAGATTGTTCTCTGCCACTACCTTGAGCGACTTCTCAAATACCTTCCATAATTTGATGGTCTTGTCGTTTGTGGAAAGCAGGTAGTGTGAGGCGTTTTGTCGGCGGCACCATTTGATCTTGTTGATCTTTTCCTCGATCTCGAGAGATTTTAGGTAGTCGAACTCGGGCTCGTGCGATTGGAACTCGGTGTGGAATTTGTATTCGCAGGTTTTTTTCTGCTGCTTGTTAGGTGCTGTCACGGTAAGGGAACTAGTAAAGATGCCCTACCGTCTCGTTCCTTTCAAACAAGACCACACGACCACCCTTGTCACCGGTTGCAAGGTAGTTACCCGTCTGGTCGAACTCGACGGTGGAGATGATGTCAGCTGTACTCGTAGTTAGTCATTGCACGCAGGGATTGAGGGGGCGGACAGAGGGCAGAAAGCTGTACACAAGGTTAAATGCTAAGAAAAAGGTACGTACCTTCGGTTATATCCTCAACATCGCCTTTGTCGCCAAAGCACCTGTTGCAGTCAGTGGCGGTTGCAGAGCGCTTTGGCCGACCTCGCAAAAATGACAGGAAGTGAGCCGATAGAGCTCAGCTACCCCGCTTGCACAGGGTATTGCACGTACTGGGTGAATTTCCACGTCGTGGGGTTTCCTTCTGCTTCTACCATGATTCTTGACAAGGGTCGCCGAACGCCAGCGGAGTGCGATCAGGTGCAGCGAGCGCGGTGGTGTATTGGGTGCAAAGGGACTCTCGCTGAGCAATTACGTGGGCCGTGGAGCTTGCGGGGGGGCTAGGGACGAGACAACGCTGCCGACGTCGATGGTGGAGGGTGGGTGGTGGATGATGTAGTGAGGGCGGTGTCTGTTGGGGGGGGTATGTGTGTGTGTGTGTGGGCAATGGCGGGGGGACTAGCGGATGGAAGGCGTGTGTTTGGGGCGTGCGGGAGACTCGACTCGACGGGGGCAGCGGAATGAAGGCGGCGGGCGACAACGCAAGCAGCAACAGCGCAGGTACGGAGACAGAGCGTGTTAGGTGATACCTCGATTCACTCTTAGTGGGGGGCTGTCCAACCTCCAAACCGCCAAGCCCTCCGGGCCACAGAAACCACGCCTTGCCGCTTGCAGCTAGCCCCGTCCACTCGCTCCGCCCACAACAATATTCGTCGGCCTCGCTCAATTGAACTTCTTCGACAACTTCGACTCTACTAACCGCAGCACATCGAACTCGCCATGTCCCACAGGAAGTTCGAAGCCCCCCGCCACGGGTCTCTGGCATTCTTGCCGCGAAAGCGCGCCTCCCGTCACCGCGGTAAGGTCAAGAGGTAATTACTGTCGCTGCCGCCAAAAGTTCGACATCCAGCTCACCATCGTGGCCAGCTTCCCTAAGGATGACCCCAAGAAGCCCGTCCACCTGACGGCTGCCATGGGCTACAAGGCTGGTATGACCACGATTGTCCGCGACCTGGACCGCCCGGGTGCCAAGCTGCACAAGAAGGAAATCGTCGAGGCCTGCACCGTCATCGAGACTCCTCCCGTACGCATACGCCTGCAGAATCAATTGGGAGCCACGGCTAACACACGCACAGATGATCGCTGTCGGTCTTGTCGGTTACATCGAGACTCCCCGCGGTCTCCGCTCCCTCACCACTGTCTGGGCTGAGCACTTGAGCGACGAGGTCAAGCGTCGCTTCTACCGCAACTGGTACAAGAGCAAGAAGAAGGCCTTCACCAAGTACGCCAAGAAGCACTCCGAGAACAACGGCCAGTCCATCACCCGCGAGCTCGAGCGCATCAAGAAGTACTGCACTGTCGTCCGTGTCCTCGCCCACACCCAGATCTCCAAGACCCCACTCCAGCAGAAGAAGGCCCACCTTATGGAGATCCAGGTCAACGGTGGCAGCGTTGCCGACAAGGTCGAGTTCGGCCACGGTCTCTTCGAGAAGCCCATTGAGATCACCTCAGTCTTCGAGGACAACGAGATGATTGACGTTATCGCCGTCACCAAGGGTAAGGGATTCAACGGTGTCACCTCTCGTTGGGGCACCAAGAAGCTCCCGCGTAAGACACACAAGGGTCTCCGCAAGGTCGCCTGTATCGGTGCCTGGCACCCTGCCCACGTCCAGTGGACTGTTGCCCGTGCTGGTCAGGACGGATACCACCACCGTACCTCTGTCAACCACAAGATCTACCGTATCGGCAAGGGCGATGACGAGGGTAACGCCTCCACCGACTTTGACGTCTCCAAGAAGCGCATCACTCCGTAAGTTATAGGCCTTTGCAACAAGTGAATGGATTACAGCTAACACTTTCTAGTATGGGTGGTTTCGTCCGCTACGGTGAGGTCAAGAACGACTACGTTCTCCTCAAGGGTGCCTGCCCTGGTGTTAAGAAGCGCGTCATGACCCTGCGCAAGTCCATGTTCACCCACACCAGCAGGAGAGCGCTGGAGAAGGTCGAGCTCAAATGGATCGACACCTCTTCCAAGTTCGGTCACGGTGCTTACCAGACACCGGCGGAGAAGAGGCAATACGAGGGTGTCCTCAAGAAGGACCTCCAGGCTTCATCTTAAGAGGCCTGAGGTTGTGGTTATGGTACGGAGTGCATGCATTTCTTCTCATGGGCTTTGGCGCACGGGATAGGTCTATAACATGGATGCCAGTCATGAGCGATTGAACAAAAATTCAACGATTCCCCAATTCATGAATATATGTTTTTGATTTTTAGTGACATGTGTTGTGTTGGGTGTCTGAGGACGGGTACATGATTACTGTGTAGTCGAGGGGTTATTTTGTCGAAGCGTTTGGTTTGCTAGTGGCCAGACCCATTGGCCAAACCAGTGTCGACTTGTAGGATGTGCTTTATGTATACTGATAGGGTTTCCTAGCAAGGAAGAGGATAATATGACAGAGCCTCAGAGTGGATATATCTTCATCACATATGTTTTCAGGGTTACAGCCCTTCTAACGCAGAGAGATTCCATATTGTGATGGACTAAGCTTAGAGTAAGAGTGCTCGGTGACACCATGTGGGTGACCCTCGCAATATCGGGTTGAGGTCGTCGCTTTCAAGTACCAACTGCGTGACAATATCAGCAGCTCTAATATCTTGTGTCAGCTTTTTTTTAAAGCACAGTGGGCGTGTTGTAGTTTCATGCTATGCCTGCTAGAGTCCGACCTGTTATACTTGTAATTCAATTATTCATATTGAGTATACAGAGTTTTCTCGTATGTAGGGATCGTCACGGTGAGATACAAATAATGGACGGTGATCTCATTCAAGTGTCAACTACATAAGGATATTGTCAGCTCTAATCCTCTTGTATCAGCCTTTTTGGTACGGTGAGCGAGTTGTAGTTACCTATGCGGCCCGATTGGATCCATTTGCGTCTGACCGACCAGAATAGCCAAGGACAGGCCTACGTATAGCAGTTACGTGTAACATGATAATATGCTGAAACACTCCGCATGCTAGAAATAGCTAATCATATTTCAAGGGTTGTAAAGAAGTCTACAATCTTTACTTATCCAATCGGTTACTTTCAGCAGACAGGCCTTTTCGGCATGTAGAGACGATCTTTACTCTACGCCTGAATTCTGTCATCATGCACTATGAGATCACCAAGAAGCTCTACTAAAAGCCGACTAACCCGTTATAGGAGAGTCTGTCCCAAACCTTACATATTTTACATATAACTATAAGTACATTTCTATAAGTACCCTTCTATGCTATATACTTCCAGCCTAACTCAATATTCATCACCCCTCTCCTCTCGTACAAGATAACCATAAAATTTCTTATTCTTCTTATTGCGAGCCTAAGCTTCGCCTCTGCACAATGTGTCACTGCTACTGTAAGGCCCAATTTCTAGCTATATGGAATTAAGCAGTGATAACCAACTATACAAACAGACTTCAGCTGGAAATACTCCTGCTACCAAATGCACTATGAATGATGTTTGTCAGCCTACACTTGTCGCCGTGTGTGTAAGTTGTCCTCTGAAGTTGCGAAGTTGGAATCAAAGCTAACAAAGTACCAGGCTATAGCGCAAATACATCAATCGGCTTTTGCTACAGCTTGCTGTGGCTAGCTTTCGGGCATAGCCTGTTACATAGAATTAAGCCATACTTCTCAATCTCGATCTCAGTTAGGGAGAGTCAACTAAAATGGCAGTGTCAGCCTAGAGGTACTATGTATGGTCACATGGTTGTCCATTGACTGATAATGTTGTATGAAACCTGTCACCGCCTATTGCTGTGGCTAAAAAGATTTCGATAAAGAACGAATAAAAAACATTCAATATCAATGTTTGACTTCGCGTAAGTATTCGATTACCCTAGGCGTGGATGTAGAGTTCAGTTCTCGTAACTCTAGAGACATGTTCGACACTGCCAAGAGTAACAAAAAGCCCCAGACCCTCGCCATGTGATCTTGGAATTAAGCAAAAAAAAAAGATCCAAAAACATACGACAGCGGGGATTCGCCAGTGGTCACCCACCTGACTACTAATCCGCCGATTTCAAGCTTGTATAGGCCAGATCGAACGGGATGGCTAAATTTCTTGAATCTATGGCCGTATGTGCCAGAAAAACCAGAATAGATCTATTATATGCGTAAAAAAATCGATGTTGGCGGACAGGATTTTCAAAGCGCTCACGCGATGTTATCGATACCGAACCTTGACTGGCACCGTTGCACCAGCAGAACATAACCACTCTACATCAGCCTCCGCCTCTCTATTTTTTTTGGCTACAGACTCGACAAAGAAAAAGGCCAAAAAATCTACATTTGATATCGCATAGAGCCCCGGTGACCTAAGCGTGTAGGTGCAGAGTCTATTTTACTTCTCGCAACTCTATACACAGAGATGTTTGACCCTGCCAAGAAAACAAAGAGCCCCAGACGCTTGTGATGGTGGCGGCTCTGCGTGAGTTTGGAAAGCCGGGGGGAATTTCCCTAATTTATGGTTGGGGCGGCCATGTGATCAGTCGAGAACGTCTATGACGCCGACGAATTGAGCTTCATATCTTGAGCGGCAACGGCAACAGTTGTCGGGCCAGAAAATGGTTCGTGGTCTGACCCGGGTAACGGCAGTGGCGACCGCCGTACACTCAGGCTTTGTTGCCAACATGAGTCCTTGATGGCCTTGAGTAGAGAGCGTGGTCATATCAGGTTTGTATGTAGCCGAAATTGAATGTTCATCTCAACGTGTTCAATTGCATGCGCGGGCGGTCTGAATGTGCAATACGACATGCAAGGCATGTTGGCGAGATAGCACCAAGCAGTCAAATATCTGCATACATTTATGTACTGTACATGTATACAAGACTCCAGACGGAGAGGCAGACGTTCATCACGGCATCAAGAAGAAAAGTCGGGATGGCAGGTACTTGCGCGACAATGCAGCCGAGGCTTACCGATCCAATGAGCGCTGCCCGATTTTAGTTTGTAAGTAGAGGGTCGGTCGCAACTGCCATCATCGACCTCCAACATCAAACCCCCAGGACCTCTCGCCCCTCCGCCAGTCCTTCACTCTTCGGCTACCGCCAATATGAGTTGTCTCAGGATGCGTCGCACGCAGCTTGCGAGCCAGGTAAGTCTATTGCGAGCCTTCTCAATCACTCGTTGCCAGCGGACGAGTGGCCTCCGCCGCACCGAGGCGTGTGCCACATCCCACATGGCTCTGGCAGACAGTCGCATGGCGGGCTACCACCTCGACACCCCCAGACGACGCCATTAGATGCCCTGCAAGCTTGCGTTATTTCTCAATTGCTCAATGGCTAATGCACCTCACCATAGCTCGCGAGGAGTTTCCGCCCAAGCACACGTGCTTTCTCCTCAACTCGACCCTTCCAACGTATAATCGCTACCGAGAACCTGCGAGCAAAGGAGGCTTCAGGCTTCATCTCCAGCAAGTACCCTGTCATTGACCATCAATACGATGCCATTGTGGTTGGCGCTGGAGGAGCTGGTCTGCGAGCAGCTTTCGGTCTCGCCGAGGCGGGCTTCAACACGGCCTGTATCTCAAAGCTTTTCCCCACTCGATCGCACACGGTAGCTGCGCAGGGTGGTATCAATGCGGCGCTTGGAAAGTACGTATAGGCAGTAGGCCAAAGGCGAGCTGAAAAGGCTGACGTATATATGTAGCATGCACGAGGATGATTGGAGGTGGCACATGTACGATACCGTCAAAGGTTCAGATTGGCTTGGTGACCAGGACGCTATCCACTACATGACAAGAGAGGCCCCACAGTCTGTCATCGAGCTCGAGAACTACGGTTGCCCATTCTCCAGAACCGACGACGGCAAGATGTACGCTTTCCCGTAGCCCCAGTTTCCAGTAGCATGCTGACCTGGTGTAGTTACCAACGTGCCTTTGGTGGTCAATCGCAAAAGTATGGAAAGGGCGGACAGGCATACCGATGCTGTGCTGCCGCCGACAGAACTGGTCACGCTCTCCTGCACACGCTCTACGGACAATCTCTCCGCCACAACACCAAATACTTCATTGAGTTCTTCGCTACCGATTTGATCATGGAAGATGGCGTCTGCAAGGGTGTCGTTGCCTACAACCAGGAAGACGGAACTATCCACCGTTTCATCGCTAAGAACACTGTTTTGGCCACTGGTGGTTACGGACGTGCCTACTTCAGCTGCACATCGGCTCACACCTGTACCGGTGACGGTATGGCCATGGTTGCTCGCGCAGGTCTCCCCAATCAGGACATGGAGTTCGTCCAGTTCCACCCCACTGGTATCTACGGCGCTGGATGCTTGATCACTGAGGGTTCCCGTGGAGAGGGTGGTTATCTTCTCAACTCCGAGGGTGAGCGATTCATGGAGCGTTATGCACCCACCGCCAAGGATCTTGCCTCGCGTGACGTTGTCTCTCGATCGATGACTCTGGAAATCCGTGAAGGCCGTGGTGTTGGTCCTGAGAAGGACCACATCTACCTTCAGCTCAGCCACCTGCCTCCTGAGGTCCTCCACGAGCGTCTGCCCGGTATCTCTGAGACCGCTGCCATTTTTGCTGGTGTAGATGTTACCAAGCAGCCCATTCCCGTCCTTCCCACTGTTCACTACAACATGGGTGGTATCCCCACCAAGTACACTGGTGAGGTTCTCACTCAAGACGCCCAGGGTAACGACCAAGTTGTGCCTGGTCTATTCGCTTGCGGTGAAGCTGCGTGCGTGTCTGTTCACGGAGCTAACCGTCTCGGTGCCAACTCATTGCTCGATCTTGTTGTCTTTGGACGTGCTGTTTCCCACACCATCCGCGACAACTTCAGCCCCGGCCAGACCGCTGATCCCGTATCTGCCGATGCCGGTGCCGACTCCATCGCCGTCCTGGACAAGGTCCGTACCTCCGAGGGCACCAAGTCCACCGCCGAGGTCCGCCTACAGATGCAAAAGGTCATGCAGACTGATGTCGCCGTCTTCCGAACACAAGAGTCGCTCGATGAGGGTGTCAAGAAGATCCGCGAGGTTGATGCCGACTTTGTCAACGTTGGTATCAAGGACCGCAGCATGATCTGGAACTCGGACCTTGTCGAGACTCTTGAGCTACGAAACTTGCTCACTTGCGCTGTTCAGACTGCCGAGTCTGCCGCCAACCGCAAGGAGTCGAGAGGCGCCCACGCCCGCGAGGACTACCCCGACCGTGACGACGAGCAGTGGATGAAGCACACACTGTCGTGGCAGAAGCAGCCACACGGTGAGACCAAGCTTGGCTACAGGGCAGTGACTGGTACCACGCTAGACGAGGCCGAGTGCAAGGCTGTGCCACCATTCAAGCGTACCTACTAGACTATAAAAGATAGAAAGTGGGGGTTTGCGGCAACAAGAGAAAGAGTTATGTTTTTTGTATTTTATGTACATTTGCTGACGGATGGGGATTGGCTGTGCATGTTTTAGCATGTTTGAAAGTATCAAAGTAGTTGAGAAATGTGAAATAAAGTTAAGGCCAGGTTGTATTTGGAGGTTGTTTGGGTAGTTTGTGATTGTGGTTGTGGTAAAACACTTTGTGATTGGCGTATGAATGGAAGAAGATCCGGTTGGACGAAGCGAGTCGTATTTGCTAATGAGGAAATTCGTAAGCGCCCACGTAAGGAGTAGACGTGTACACGAATTGTAAGCGCGCAATCAGGGCGGTTAAACCACAAAATACGTCTTTTGGTGATGATTGGTTGGCTTGAGGGGAGGGACAGTATCTTCTCCATTTGGGTCGGGGGGGGGGGGCGACAACTGTGGGAAATTGGAATGTTGGCGTAGTAGTGTGGCTACAACAATGTCAAATTACTCGGTACTATGTTCCAGCGGGGAGGGAAAAAACTAAAACTACCAAGACCAAACTACTGTACTTACCAAGACAAATCTCTCTCTCTACTTAACAATGCACACCAAGACAGCATTAATAACAAGCCTCCCCACATATTAACGACTCCCTCCCCCGCAACCTTGAGCGTTTGACCCAGGGGGATTTTTTATATATGTTCCCCACAAATGTCCCTTGGCTAGATTTTCTCGTCCACAAACATAGCACCATGAGAGGGGTCGCTTGGCTGAGTCGTGTATGTGTGTGTGTGTGTGCGGCGATGACAAATGTGACAAGTGGATGTATAAACGAGATGTTGAAACGGTATAGGTGTCGTCGGTGAATTTGGCACCTTTTTGTGTAAAATTGAATACAACCATTATGCACGAGTGATTTGTAGTATACTCAATCAATGTTGATACGATATGTATAATTTTCTTGGGGGGTTTTTTTTTAAAAAAAAAAAAACCCCTGCCTCTTTCTATGCCGCGGTGTTCCGACTGGGTTGTGCTAAACGGCGGGGGTCTTAGAGGGGGGGGCTACGTAAGGTGTGTTGCGTGGCGTTGGAAGGGAAGGAGGAGAGAGGGGGGGGGATGGGAGATCGTTTGTATCAGAATAAAATAGCCACATATACATCAAGGTTTGTCGCAAATGCTGCGCCCTTTTTTTATTTTTGGTGGATGGGTTGATTTGATTTTTGATTTTTGCATTTTCCCCAGTTCCACACACCCCAGAGCAAAGTCAAATTTTTGCGGATGATGGGGGATGTGGGTATGGGGAAAAGAAAAGGAAATATTGACAACGAAATTAAGGTAGTGTGCCCATGTGAATACTCCACGCTGATGCTAAAAAAGCAAAAGATTAAGGTCTGAACGCTCGCGGGATTGTGATGGACAAGGAGGATAAACAGGTGGCTGGGTTTATGTATATTTTCGCTGGCTGACTCTCTCTCTCTCTTTTTTTTGTAAAGAAGAGACAAGAATAAGAAATACATACACTGAAAAACAAAAGAGGGGACTTTTCGTCCCGAGAGTTTTTGGAGGGAGAGAGAGAGATGGGGTATTATATGCAAAACAAATCGCTAAAAAAAAACTCTCTCATTTTTTCTTTGGTTGGGTGTGAATGGTAGTAAAAAGCCCACGCTAGGCTTAAAGTTCTACTTCATCTTCTTAAAAACGGAGCTGGACATCGCGCGAGTGGAGCTCGAAGCGCTTGTCGATGGGCGCGGCCTCTGCCATGCGGGCGGCGGCGCGAGCAGCAGGGCTGCCGTTGAGGCCGCTGTGGTCGGGGACAACGTAGTTCTTGACGAGGCGCTGGGCGACGTTTCCGTTGACGCCGTTGCTGAGGAGCAGGTTAGGGCTACCGGCGAGGTTACCCGAGATGTCGTTCTTGCGGGCGGTAGCGAGGAGCTTGGCCTTGAGGGCGGCGGGGTTCTGGCCGAGGCCTGCAACGTCTTGGGTCATGAGGACGGCCATGACACCAGTGGTGTGGGGGCAGGCCATCGAGGTACCCGAGAGGAAGTTGATGACGTTGTCGCCGGTGGACCAGGAGCTGAGGATTTGCTCGCCGGGGGCGTAGATGTCGACGCAACGACCGTTGTTGGAGAAGCTGGAGACTTCGTTCTTAATGTTGACGGAGCCGACGGTTACGACGTTGGAGTTTGCGCCGCCGAGATGGGCGGGTGTGCTACCGCAGGCGTCTTGTCCGTCGTTTCCAGCGGCAACGGAGACGTGAATGCCAGCCTCGGAGGCACCGGTAATGACTTCGTCGACGGAGTTGGCAAAGCCCTGGAGACCCCATGACATGCTCATAATGGAACCGATGAAGCCGGGCTCAGTCTTGCGCTTGTTGTGCCTGGCAACGACCCAATCCATACCCCTGATGGTGTCGGAAGAAGCGCCAGATCCATCGTCTCCGAGGACCTTGACTTCGATGATGTTGGCGCCCTGGGCAACACCAAACTTGGCGCCACCAGCAGTACCAGCAACGTGAGTGCCGTGACCGTCACCGTCGACAAAGGAACCGGTAGCAGTGAAACCCTGGATAGCACGACCAGTGAAGACAGCGTGGGAAGTTCGCACACCAGTGTCAATGACGTAGATATCGACACCAGCACCGAGAGTCGAGTCGTTGAAAGAGTAGGTAAAGTCTTGGCCTTGGGGAGAGCCCGAGGGGCCAGAGGCGCTAGAGATACGCTCCAGACCCCATGGGGAGCCCTCACGCTGCTCGACAAACGACTTGACCTCTGCCTTTTCCTCGACAACATTGATCTCAGCCATGCTCTTAAAGATGGCAGCATGCTCGTCACACATCTTGAGAACAACAACACGGGGGTTGACGCCTGGGCTCGACTCGAAAAGAATTGCATCGCCATTCTTGTTGAGCTCAAGGGCATCCATGTACCTCTCAATGGGCTCGGGCACAGTCTCGTTACGCCACCAAGTGACAATGTACTCCTTGACGTCTGTGGAGTGGTTGCTAGGGAGGGTGTTTTTGTTGATGAAGCCTGGGCTGGGGAAAGCAGCAACGAGTGAGGAGCTAGCCACCAAAAGGCTAGCTGTAAGGGTAAAGAAGGACTTCATGGTGAATTACAGAATGGATCCTGTCCGGAAGGGAAAAAAAGAAGTGCTTGGAGGGAGAGTAGGAATTGAAGAATTGTTGGCGATGCAAGTGAATGCAAGTGCACTGTGACGGTGTTAGTGACAGGTCTACTGTAGACAAACAACCAAGCCAAACACTAGAGCAAGAAGGAGAATGATCGCTGTGAAAGGGGAACAGAGGGTATTGTATAGAAGAAGCACACAATAGTAAAAGGCACTCAAGTGAGACGTTGTAGGTGGACAAGCCCCACTGAGGCCTAGTGGGTATACGGTTGAACGGCAGTGGAGGGTATACGTACAGGGCAAGGCGTGTGTCAGGCAGGAAGTCTGAGGTGATTGACGTATCGGCCAAGACGTGCCAGCACGCGGAAAAGAAAGTAAGGGAGGGAGTGAATGGAAACACGAGGGGGTGTGGGGGGAGTGAATGAAGCAGTTGCCGAAGCAAGAGAGAGAGTCAACTCTTAATGAATGGAAGAGAGAGAGGGAGAAGAGAGAGTGTGAGCGTGGGTGGACACGAGCAGGAGGAGTTGGGTGGAGGGCGCCATGGTTGATGTAGTCTTGGTCGCGTCGCATCGTCCAGGCGCTGGTGGCCAAGGGCAGCATAGAGGCGGGAGGGTCTGAAACAGGGCGTGGAGCTTGGCTCCGAGTGACATTGGAGCCGGGCGAGCAGGAACAGAACAGCGCAACCTGAGCCGTCGAGGTTCCCGTTGGCCGTGGGCCTCTGAGCCTCTGAAACGGCGTGGGCCAGCCGCCGCACTGCCCAAAGTAGACAGGCCCGCCCCATCTCATCTCGCCTCTACACTGCACATCCCACATAGCCGCGGGGCGTCTGAGCGTCGCATATTCATGCACACCATCTCAATGCCCTGAAGCCCATCCATCATCCGGCATGACTTGCCCAGCTCAATTCGACGCCCTTCTATCTCTGTCCAGACCCCCGACCGCCGGCCCTTTGTTGCCCGTCACCTCCACCCTGTTGACAGCGTCCGACAGGCCCCAAACCAAACGCCCACCCACGCCCGTGAACCGTTTCACGCCTACCTGACGACACCACCACCACCCACCCGCTCTCGTACCACCTGTTTCCATTCTGCCTTAGTTGCGCCCCCGGAGAATTGACGTTGTGCGGACCCTACTTACTACTTACTGCCATCTCTGGTACCCCAAACTAGCTCCCGACCGCCCGCACAACCACGGTCATTGTCGTATTGCCAGTAGAGCGTGTATTATGTAAAGTACAACTCCCCCATGTCTATTTTTCCTTCGCTGCCATTGCGCTCCCTGGTGCCCCCCGCCTGTCGCTCCCCCCCTGCCCGTTTCGTACGCGACTCGTGCGACCCATAGACCGGTTTCGAGGCGTAAAATGGCATGCATGGGAAAACGATTCTCGGCCACCATCGCCAATCATCTCTCGCACCCCTTTGCAGCCTCAGTCAGACCAGCAACCAGCAGTAACACTGACAGCGCAACATCAATCAGTCGCACAAACGCCATCTCCATCACCAGCCATGCGTTCAACCGGACCCTCGCATAAAACGGAGTGCGGGACCAAACACCCACTCTATCTGCGCCCGGCCTGACTCTATTCGTCTACAAACCACATGCATACCCCAGTCCGCCAGTGCCTGCGCCTCACCTCCACTCAATGAGCGAGCAAAGCGGCTTTGGGTGGAGACTCCCCCCCTTGGTCGCACCAACTCGTACGCCCTCCAATCTATCTGCGCCGCACTCGTGGCTAGTTCCGGGCGGCGCGTTTATCACCCCTTCTCACTACAGTCTAGCCCCAATCCCCTAGCCCCAGTTTCCGGCGGCGCGTGAAACACAACGCCAAAAACCATGTACCTTTGCCGGCTTTTTTCCTATTACCTATTAGCGAACGAAAACAAAAAACTCAATCAGAGTTCGCTCTAAGTAGTAGCTACTCCACAAAAAATCACGTAAAACTATCAGTTTTTCTTCAACCGAAAGCTAATAGGTATAGTTGATCAGCATGGGCCGCATTTTATATTTATTTGAAGTCTTTTCCGAGAGCGAACATGGGCCTAGTTCCTCAAGCGAGCGAGAACACACAACAAACTCCAGGGGATGTCCCCCGTCCCCCATGCCTTCCCTAATCCGTATACACACACAGTAAATACACAACGCACTAGCGGCGCCCAGGACTAATCCGTTCTTGATCCCATCTATTCTGTTACAAACACCCAATATATTCCATGTTCCTTTGGTTCTTCTAGAGTACCCATTTTGTCCGACCGCGCGGCACCAATATATCCCATCCCAGTCCATTGTTCCCGTTCATGACTTCTCGCCCCTGCTCTTCTCCGAACCAGACAAACACCTTAAAAGGAAGGGTGCAGACCCATCTTCCCCCCACCCTCGTCTCAAAACACTCCCTTTTTGCTTTTCGCCCTCGCAAAGAGCAAAACAGACAGGACCGGATGCCCACGGGTTCCCTCCGCAACATCCTCCCCTCCCCTTCGTATCCCCAAACACGCAAAACCGGGAATATTCAAGTGCTGAGTCTACACCATACGCGCGCGCCCTTTTTGCGCGTTTGAAACACTACGCGCCCAAACAGTCGTTTCTAGGCTTGCGTATCCCAATTGTGAACGTGAGAATAACATAAAGGCGGTGGGTTTTTGGCATACGGCTCACAAGTATAAAAAAAATTGTGTAACACAAAAAAACCGAGGTGAAGAGGTGAGATGAAACTAGAACGTTTTACTGGCATGAAACGTTAAAACCTAGTTTTTTTTCCTTGTTCCCGTCTTATGTGCATACCATTGCTTTTGCTTCAGAAAAGCGATGATATCTTTTTATACCATGTTTTTTGTTTTTACTTTCGCAAGATGTTCGTAATCCATGGGTCTGAGGGAGAACAAGGGTTGCGCCACCAAAAAAAAGAGGTTCTACCTGTATAGAACGGCGCGCGCATGCGTGTTTGGAGTAAATAACTTCATACAATACATAAGTACAACACACACACACACACGTTGTAATCTACCCAAACCCCAGTTTGGGCTATGCTTCCCGCTTCTAACAGCGTCATGACATTTTGGTGTGATGATGCTTGAGTGCAGAAAAAAATGTAAACTCCAGTCCCCCTTCTTTACATCACACCACCCTTCTGTTTCCCGTTGATTGCCATGCCAGCCACCCCTCCATCTCCATCCTTACTACAGGAAAAAAAGGAAGAACGTAACAAACCACCCTTACCACTTACAAAACCTTCATGCCCCCCCTACACTTCATCATCACTATCATCATCTCCCAGCAACTCCCCCTCATCCGCATCCACAACCGCGTAGTCCCCTCTTCCACGAGCAAAACTGCTTCGAGAAGTATACGTCCGGCCGTAGCCCCCATATCCACCACGTCCACCACCCATACGACCCGCAGCCCACCTCCACACACTACCCGCTAGTAGCGGCAGCGCAGCAATAACGGCCACGAGTCCCGAGACTGCTGCAATGGGCCACTTAACCCACGGTGCGTCGCTATCAAAGACGCCATTACCGCCACCCTCGCCCAACCGGATACGACCAAACTTGCCGTCCCAGTGGCGCCAGACATAGTATCCGATTCCGCCGGCAGCGGCAAATGGCAGGACGATAGCGAGGAAGAGGGAGAAGCCTCCGATGCCGTGTTTCTTCTGGAAATCTTCTTCGAAGCCAGGGCATGGATGTACGTCGCCTGTCTTATCGAATTCGTTTCCGCCCTCGCAGGTAGACAGGGGGATCTTGCGGAAGCGGCTGTTGGACCAGTATTCTTTAACGCCCTTGTTTTTGCAAACGGCTGAGGCGTCGGGGAGCTCAAGACCAGGTACGAGTACGCAGTCGCCGCTGGCATCGCGTTCATAGTTGAATGCACTGCGAGTATGACGTTAGCGTCTATCTTGTAACGTTGTCTATGCTGGAAACATTGACTACAAAACTTACCATTCGTAATCACGCCTTGTGCAAGAGCAGTTGCGTGCAATGTCGTGCATTTGATCAATGCGCTGTGCGTTCCGGCACTTGACACCCCGTTTCTTGCGGTGGTACTGGGCTACGTGCCCAAACAGACATTCAGGCTCATCTTGCTGGAGGGGATGTTGGGGACTCCAAAGGTCGTAGTCGCCGCGAGTAGGATCGTGCTCGTCGAGTTTGCATTCCTTGCTGAATTCTGGGAGGCCGGAGAAGTCGAGGTTCACGGCAACAAGCTCCTTGCTGTCTTTGCCCCAGAGAAGGAAGTTGAGCGACGTATCGCTGGGCACCGTTGTGATGGCGTCGACCCGAATCTTATGGTCCGAGAACTTGTACAGGTTCCATTCTACGCCGCTGTCAAGCGAGTAGTATACGTGGTCCGTGTCTTCACCTCGGCGGACAATGACAATGACGGATCCTTGGTCGCCAAACTCCCACGCATAGGTGCCCTTCTTGATTTCCTTCCACGTGATACCCGCGTCAGTAGTCATGAAGGTGTTGGCCTCACCGAATGTCGTCAGCTCAGGTCCAACATTGCCGACAGCAAGCATCAAGCCTACTGCCGTGGGTGACGAATACATCTCACGGGGATCGGCGCGCTCCGTGTATCCGTGGATATGCAGACCACACTTGTCCTTGTTCGATACATCGCACTTGTATGGCTTGCCGTCAGAGTCCTTCTCGGGCGCTTGCAGAGCCTCCCAGTCGGCACCATCGTTGTGAGTGATACGACTCTGCTTCTTCTTTTTGCTGCCCTTGTCAACCTCCGCAATATTGATAACCACATTGGCAACAGCAACACCCTCAAGACCTTGCATCTTCTCAAAGTCGACATAGCCATCAGTGTTCCTGTTCACACCGCTCAAGCTCATGACGTACGAAGTGCCATTGCTGTTACTCTTGATGATTGAACCGTACTCCTGGTCTCGTGTTGGGTTCACCGTCACATGCAAAAAGACTGCGTGTGTAGAGCTGTCCAGCACCGTGTACGCAGTCTGGTGCACGTCAAAGAACTTGGGAGGGAATTTGGCCTCGGCGAAGGTGTTGGCGTCCAGGCTGGCATCCAGGCGGAGACTGTTGTCCTTGGCCTTGGTCGCAACCATGATGAACTCGGACATGGTTGCGAATTCCACAACCGACTTGAACTTGACATCCTTCTTCTTGAACCAGTCGTCACTCGAGATGAGCTCCAGCGGGGCATTTGTTTCCTCGTTGGTGTGTTGTTCGCAAAATACTTGCTCCTCCTTGACACTGCGCCCAGTCTCGCGCCAGACAAACATGCACTTCTTAACGTATGGCACAAGAGATTCCCAGCTGTCGTCCTCGCCGTTCTTCTGCGAGACGTAGGCTACGGTATGGCACTCTTTGTCTCCCGCCTTTTCGCAGTTCTTGCCGCCCATCCATATGATCCAACCCTTTTGCTTGGGATGGAACTGCATGATCTGCAGCATCTCCTTGTTGGGTACAGCGGGCGCGTTGAACGAGTGGATGCTGTCATGGAGACCACGATCCTCGGAGTAGTAGACTTTCTTTCCTGCAGTCAAGAAGTACACATTGTTGTTCTCGTACTGATGAGGGTAGATTCTAACAATTTCATCATCGATAGCCTTCTTCCACTTCTTTCCGTGGTCGTGCGATATGTAGGCCGTACGTTCGTCGGTAAGCATGACAACTGTCTCATCTTTGCTTCGCTCGTTGCCAGTGTCTTCGCCTTGGGTGTTGCGCTCGAGGTAGTACTGCTCCACGAACTCGCCACCCTTGAACTTGGTGATTTCATGGGTAATCTCTTTGCTCTGCGGCGGCCGCTTCTCCGAGTCTTTACATTCGCGCTCGATCTGCTTGTCTCTATCCGTTTCGCCTTTACATTGGTTGCCGGGAATCTTTCGCCAGCCAGAGCTGCCTTTGTACGTCTTGGCGTCTCCTTCGCAAGCTCCCTTTGGCAGGCTGAACGAATCGTCAGGCTCGCACTTCTTGTCTTTGCCTTCACCAACAGGGGCAAAGCCAAAGTCACATTCGTAGTCGCGGAATTGGTCGCAGTCGCAAGGCTTGAAGGTGGGAACCGGGTCTTTGAAGACTTCGCCAACAGAGCATTCAGCATCCCACTTTCGCCTTCGGAACAGCTGTTTGTGGCCCATGACACAGCTTGCAGCGCCATCCGCCTCTTTTCGCACAGACCATTCGGCATCAAAGTCACTGTCTCCACACTTCTTTAGCATGTCGGTGAAGTCAAGGTGAATGATGACGTGCTCGCGACCGCCACCATCCTTCTTCTTGGATCCGTACAGCATGAACTTCAAACTTGTCGAGTCGGGCAGGGTCGTCAGTTCGCGTGCACGGATCTTGTGGTCGAGCTTGATCTTCTTCCAGGTATCTTTTCGTCCATGTTTGAACGAGTATCTGATCTCGTCGGTGTCACCTTCGTCAAAGACTGCCACAAGGACAGATCCTTGGTCGCCGAATTCGTATTTGTGCGCTTCCTCGAGCGCCAGTTCCCACGTGAGACCTGCATCGTCGGAAACATATAGGTCGCCGTCGGTGTACTTGCCAAGGAACTCGCCCGTGTTTCCGACACCCATGACAATTCCTGGCGCTGGGCTCGAAAAAACGCGGCCGCTGTTGTGCAGATTGGTGACGGAATGCAGATGAAGTTCCTCGTTTTTACCCTTGACTGTGAGCTTTTCAAAAGTTCTGCCGTCATCAAAACTGATGCGCGATTTCAGCTTCTTGGTTTGACCTGACTTTTCAACCTCTTTGTAGTTGTCAACCGTATTTACGAGCACTACACCCTGGATGTTTGCAATCTTCTCAAAATCAACATATCCGTTCTCGTTGCGGTTGGTGTGTTCGACATTCTTGGTAAAGTATGTTCCGTTGGAGTTACTGGTGTACAAATTGCCCATGGCCACATACTTGGATGTCATGACATCGACCTGTATGCTGTAGTTTGTGGACTCGAGAATCGTGTACGCATCTTCTTCAATCTTGTGGTCGCCGAATTGGGCGTGGTGCCAGGAGTCGGTGTCCTGGGTTACGTATAGGGCGAGTTCGCTCGAATGTTCGGCTTTGGCAGCGGCGACGATGTAGCCCTTGGCCACAGCCATGTTGGCCATGCCCTGTACAGTACGCCCAGAGGACATGGTGGGCTCTTCCATATGCTCGAAAAAGCTGCGCTCTGTTAGCTCCTGCTCTCGTATCTGGGTTGTCGCCACCTACTCGTCGGACACGAGAAGCCTAAAGTCTTTGGACCTGTCCGAGTATTTTCCTCTTGTGATGCATAGTATACGGTCATCGTGTTTGTCGACGCCTTCGAGAAATCTCTCCGAGGATTTGGCCCATTGGCACATTCGGCGGTCCTTGATCAGACCCTTGGGCTCAGTCTTGAAGCCATCGGTGGTGTAGTATGTCTGGCGCAGGTTAGCAATGCGACTCGTAGCAGCCTCAGAAGACGCATACCCTTCCAAGACACGGCGCCGTGAAACAGTTCTCAATCTCGTTGATGAGTATCTTCTTGTTGTCTTGCGCGTGCCAGCCCACTGGACCTGCCGGCGAAGGCGCAAGCTCCGTCTCAAAGCTTTTCCATGTTTCTCCCTGGTCATATGTAATCCAGTGCTTCTTCTCGCTCAGTACCAGCGCCACCTTGTTGTCGAATGGATTCTTGATGATGCCTAATCCCTGGATATCCTTTAATTGTTCCCAGCCCTTGCCAGCATCCTGCGAGCGGTATATCTTGCCCGTGTCGAGTTCTTGTACCAAGGCGACTCCGGAATCGTCAAAGTACATGAGGTTGACAAGCTCATTTTTGAAGGGCTTCGTCACGACGAGCGGGTCGTCCTTTGCGGTGGCGGGCGAGGGTGCTAGTGCCAGCAGGGCGGGCAGCAAAAGGCCCTTAATGTATTTCATGGTGCATAGAGGCGACGGCAAAATGCGTGTGTTGATGGGAGAGAGAGGGCGTGAATGTTGGAGAACAACTGGTGAGTCGACAATTCACAGCCTCAAGCACCGGCCCCAATGACGCTGACGGACCTGAAACACACGTCGATGCGCCGCGATGGCGGAGGCTCCCCAATCCAATGAAGACACAAAGTCAAGAGTTAAAACCCAAGGAACGGCGTAGGAGGCGACAGAGGGAGTGTGCAGCAGTACAATGGGAAGATTAGCAATGCGATGGCAGATGGCGCCAACAATGCAGTGTGGTGCAGTAGGCTCAACTGGACAGATAGAGCTTGGGGGGCCAGTCGCGTATAGACGGACGTCCGCGGCTACTGTCCCGCATTCTGTATCCCTGCTAGGTCCGTCGCCAGTTCCGCTCCCAACTCCAGTACTCGCCGCCGACTTTCCTTCATATGTCTGGACAATTATTGGATATTGATGCCAATGCCTACAACTAGACTACGGACCCGCCAACTGTCAGTGTCTTGGCTACGACTCAGGCGGTGCCAGCAAGAACGCTACAGAGCTGCAATTTGAACAAGGCCTCTGATATGAGATTGGAATACCTAATTGACCGGCATACAATAACAATATCTCCGGCGCCGGTTTCGTCTCACACGTTTCAGACTGACAAAAGAACTACACCATGCCACCTCTCTACTTGGTCCATGGCAGCCCCAGCTTCTTCATCTCCACCGCGAGCTGCAAGATATAATCGATACTCTCGCACTGCGTCTTAGCCTTGTGCACATTATCGCCCCAGACATAGATCCCATGTCTCCGCACCAGAATCGCATACGAGTCCGGGTACTTTTCCATCGCCTCCTCCAAGCTCTCCCTCAGATCCTCTTCGTGCGCCGTATTCTCGATGATCGGGATGCGCAGTCGGTCGTAGTAGCCTAGGTTCCCTTGCTTGCCCCGCCCCTTGGGTATACCCTTTATTTGCTCAATCTCTTCAATCTCAAAGCATGCGTCCTTGCCGAAGTCGCGCTCGACGAGGAGAGTGACGAGTACTGCCCATTGTGAATGCGTGTGGATGCAGCATCCGGCGCCGCGCTCAAAGGCTGCCATGAACAGCGGGGTGCATGCTGAGGGTTTGAGGACCTTAGTGTGGAAATCAGATTTGCGCGCCAATCTCATATGAACGTATAATCGGTACCTGTGGCTTCCTGAGGTACTCCTTGCTGTTGAAGTCCATGACAAACATGTCGGTAGGCTTCATGAGTTCCTTTTGCACGCCACTCGGCGCAATGTATATCTTGTCCTCATGGCGTATGCTTGTTCCTCCGCCAGTGCCTGTCACCTGGCGCAATCTCCATTGTTAGCAATGCAGTCAAAAAGGCGTCTCTTCACTTGCTGACCCCCAATTTTACGGGAGGAATCCTCATACCCAGCCCAAGTTGTAGAACTTTGCGCAGAGTGTGCAAATGTGATTTGCCGGATGGCTTGGGTCGTCAGAGTACACGAGGGCCTCTGGATCCTGTACATTGGAGCTCATTATGATGTTTTTTAAAGAATATGTTTCTCTCTCTTTTTGAGGCGCCAAAGTTGGGAGTTTTTCGCAATGCCCAAATGACGCGTTGGGCGACCGCGACTACCCCACGTGGTCCGGGCGGTTGGTCTTCACCCCACTATTCTAGTCAGGGCGGGCTGGTATAGTTCCCTCGCAGTTACAACATAATACGTCTTTCGGGGTACAGTCAAGGAGTATGTTCGTTTATTCAATCTAAACATATTACTCAAGCAAAGACAAGGTCGGCTCGCCCAAGGAGACTACGACCCGAGGTATCATTGACGTCCAACCGCTCACTACATTACTATATCCTCCACCACGGTTGCGCAACCGGGTATATCGCAACTACTTAGTCGTCTCGTTTTGTGCCAGAGGCGAGTGCTCATGCTCCTTCTTCTTGTCGAGGTGAAGCGCATGCTTTAGCTTGTCGCCGAAGCCCTGGCGGTCTGGGGACTGGGAGTGACCACTGTGCTTCTCCTTGTAGACGTTGCCAGCACCGCCTCGCTGGATTCATGTCAGCTTCGCCTTCTATACATGCGCCATGGTGACACATACCCCAGTGTGAAACTCTTCCTGTGGGTTGCGCTGGTTGATCTCAGGTACCAGGTCGACTGGGCGACCTTCGTCAGACTGCGGGCCAACACGAGGCGACCTGCCAATGTTTCCAGCTCCGCCGCGGCCAGTTGAAAATTCGCCTTCGACAGATTCGCCTTGGATGCCTTCGCGAACGAGGCCTCCGTCAGTATAGACAGTGTCGTCTTGGCCAATGTTGCCAGCGCCTACATGAACAACAATCAACTTCTGTTTTTACAAGACATGTACGCTCTCTGGGGAGATGCGACTGACCTCCACGTCCAGTGGAATGAATCGGTGTGCTAGTCATCTTCTCTTTCTTTGCTACTTCGGGGGTATCTGGAATTCAAAACGTATACGATCGAGATCGCAGAGAACTAGTGTATGACTGAGAGAGTAAATCAGAGTATGCTAACAGCCCAGCGCAATGCGACCAGAAAGCCCTTATAGTCATTCCTTCAGTCGGGAGACAACCTCCAAGAGACTGCAATGACGCAATCTCATTTGCATCCATTGGCAGCGCGGGATGAAAATAAGCTCCCGCAATAAAAAACCAGGCATCGGCGTGTCTGCGGCTGCAAGTCATTCAACGAAGTTTGCTCGGCCAAGACAAGTTGCAACAACGAGGGACGGCGTCGCGTCTTCACGCAGCCTCTCATTGTACCGTGTACGTGGTTTATGCGATGGCGTGAGGTGATCGCCTGATAAGCCAGAGTGAAGTGATTCGCTCTGCAAGTGACTAAGCCGCCTACATCCCACTGTTTCCAAGCCTCGAGACTGGCAATCTTACGCGAACATGCACAAGCAAAGAAGCGTGGCTGATGTTGCAAGGTTTACTTGGAAGAGCTGTTGGAGAAGTTTGCAAAGCACGAGGTCCACTGACGTGTGTTTGCCAACCCTGGCCGTCGTCGTCGATCCTGACGCAGGCACATCAATTTCGTCAACTATGCAGGAACGGCGAGATAATCTCACATAACTAGCCATCATATCGAGGTACAAATCCAAGTACCGTGGTACGACGGTAAGCTCATTATCTAATCACAAATCCCCGTTACCTGTAGCGCCACGGAAACTAAACCCAGCCAACACAGCACGTGTTACATAGTGGCGTCACACGTTCTTCCAAACACTCGACTCACACTCTCCGTACTTGTTTCAAACACACACCTTGGCCGTCTTGAGATTTGAATGGAGCGAAAATGCGCCAGCTTTCACGTCCCAACATCTCCATGTGGCACAGAGCTAGTTTAGAAACCCGAGGGTGATGTGATTATTATTACCTACGCGATACGATGGTCTAAGACCCTAATAAAACTAATAGGAAACGGGACATAAATGGGTATCGTAACATCTCAGCGCTCGAAACGAAGGGCCACACCGCTTGCATTTTCTTAGGACGTAAGGTTTCGGTCATCGCTGTACCTGGCGTGACCGTCTTCTGCAGACTGAGCCTGCGCTTTGCTCTGGTCTGCATGCTTGGCGGGATCGAAGACGTACATTGGGAATTCCAGAAACAGGGTTCGTTTCAAGAATACTGGCATCCTGGCGTATAGTGTCGGTGGGAAGGGGATGAGAATGCTGGTTCGTTGGAGGTACCTTTCGTACTCGGGCCAGTGGCTACCCTTCTCGTACCTCTTCTTTGCTGCTGGGCGTTCCTGCAGCGTAAGGCCTGACACGAACATGAGAAGTAGGGTCAAGAAGAAAGGACCGAGGATCGACGCGTAGAGGGCATCATAGGCACCACCCGAGACATAGTTGTACGCTGCTGGCGACACAGCAATGGTGAAGATACCTGGGAACTGTTAGCTTCCGCCAAGAGCATATGCACAGCAAGGACCCACCGAACTGAATAATGATCTCCCCGAAGTAGTTGGGATGCCTGGTCCACGCAAAGAATCCCACATCGCAGACTGCACCGTCGCTCCCATGTGCAGTGCGGAACCGATACTTTTGGATGTCGGAAACACTCTCCATGATGAATCCAATTCCCCAAAGGATAACGCCTGCAATATCACATCCCGTCCCGAACTTGGGCTGATAGAACTTGGTGACATTCGGCGAGTTGAGTATCGTAACCGGCAATGAAACGGTCCAGACCCAAAACATTTGGCTACGCTTTCGTCAGAAACAACACTCTCCGAGCATGACTAGTCGCATCCACTCACAAGACCCAGAACCCAAGGAATGACCAGAACTTATCCCGCTTGTCGTCAAACCTATCGTCTTTTCCTGTCTTTAGGATACGGAAAAGCAAGAACCCGCTCAGTCGTGCCGCCCATAGCATAATGAAGAGCGAGACGACGATGTTGCGTGGCTCATACCTGTTTTCGCTGAAAGAAAGTGTGAGGATAGCGAGAAGGATGAAATTCGTGCCGCCGGCGAAATCAGTGAGTTTGTCGAATTTCAGCGAAAACGCTATGGCGAAGAAGAAGAGTTGGTAGGCAACTGTAATCAAAAAGGTTATCGCAAGGTAGTAATTATCGAGCACGTGTACGGCCGCCATGGTGTCGGTTGGTAGAATACTATTGCTCTGTATGCTCGGAGGAAACTGAAGAAGAAAAGAGCACGCGCCTCTACATATAACACACATGTCGATCTAGTCGCGCTCTTGCGCCCTACGGACCCCGGACGGTGTGCTCAAGGCAAAATCTCGCCGCTTCTGGCATTTGTTGCGCTCAGAGAAATGTTAGCCCGGTCGGGTCGATGACGCACGTCATCGAGCGGGCCAAGCCACGATACGTAGTCACGACTCTGGCCCGCGATCAGCCGCTTGGTTGCGCATCCCTCCACACCTCATCTATCCATCCACCCAGCAAAATGCACACCTCGAATCCAGAGCAGCCACGCACTGCGCTCGGGGGCCTAGACATAAACTCGGGAGATCCAATTCTAAACCCGCATGACCCGCGCTGAATAATCCACCCGCACACGACGGGACACTGAAACTCCGCTCGTGTGAGCTACCCATGTCGCATCTCACGCACAAACCGCATCAGATAGTCTCTCCAGCGGCTAGCCCAGACAAGCTTCTATCGTGAAGCTTCCCACATCCATCACCCGTTTCTCTGCTGAACCGCCCAGAGCTCCTGCATCAAGCCTTTTGATTACAAGGATTGGTCCTGAATAACTAATGCTTTCCACTGGGATGGCTTTAACCCCGTCCCCCCCGTCTCCAGTCCCCCAGGGCGCCCACTTAGCTCTTGAGACACGATGGTTCAAGTTGACCGGTACACGCAACTGCCAAACGCACGAAACCGCCCGTCCCTCGTCGGGCCTTGCTGGGTTGGTGCAGGAAACAAAAGAATAAGTGGGTAGGGCGCCTGGTTGGGACTGTTAAAGTAACACGATTTGGGGGTGGGTGAATGCATTCTTTGCGGAGGCGCTGGACGTTACTTGTCTCTTCTCTTTTCTTCTCCCTTACACAGGAAAGGCTCATGCTCCGTGACGATACCCGCTTCTAACTGCCGCCATTGTTTCTGTTTGCGCGGCTCCACCGTTTTGATTCTCTTCCCGCTTCTCCTCGCTCGACATTCCCCCCTTTTGTTCTTCCACCTCGTTTTCTTTCCTACTACGACTTCCTTTGAAATCTGCTGTGCAGATCTCCTTGGAGCAGGAAAATAAGGTTTCCTCTGCATGTCTGGGACATCTACCTTTTGCCATTCTTTTTTCTTTCCAGCAGGACTGTTGATGTTTTAATTAATGATTGTATTTATTGTTACGCTCTATCTGGATTTTTGCTTTTTTTATAACAACGTCGCGCGTATACTAAAATACCATTATGAAGACGACAGCATCGTCACTGGCTTCGGCCTTGCTGCTAATCAGCGCAGTATGTACAACCCGTTGACCTCACAGTCTATTGATGCTAAGTATACAAAAGTCTCTTGCTTACGCAAAACTTGATATCCACAACACTCACATACAGACCAATATTGCTGGAAAACGAATTGATGACCTGTTTTCTGGAGTTGATCGGTCTGGAAACAATGTTTTCGACAAACGCGACGTCCCTGCTATTGAACAGGCAAACCCTCTGGAGAACGCACACATCGTCACCAGGTCTGCACAGAGCGGTCTGGATGCAGGTGCTTTATTGAACAGCATTGCACCAAGTCAGAGCGTCGGTAACGGAGATATCACCACCAACGACGTCGGTGGAGATATTGCCAATCAGATTGCTGCTGGAAGTACGAATACCATTGGCAATACTGGCAGTGGGGCAGGTGGACAGACGCAGGGTGGATCGGCGAATGATACTACAGTGCAGGCACAGAGTCAGACGCCTGCGCAGTCCCCTGCGCAGGGAACTACTCCAGGAGCTGCCCAAGGTCTTGCGCAGGGAACTCCTCAAGGAAGCACTCAGGGAACTCAAGGAACTCAGGGAACTCAGGGAACTCCTCAAGGAACAACTCCAGGAACTGCACCGGTCAATTCTCCAGGTCAAGGAAGCGACATCATTTCGAACGATGTGGGAGCTGCTCTCGCGAGCCAACTGACACCAGGTGGTGATTCGAACGACGTCAACGTTCAGGATGTCGGTGGAGCCATTGCGAATTCAATCGCACTTGGGGGACAAAGTCAACCAACACCACTACCACAGGGCCAGCAACCGCCACAGGGTCAACAGCCACCGCAAGGCCAAGCACCGCAACAGAATCCTTCACCGCCACCATCGGGTCAGGCACCCCAACCTATGGCACCCGCAGCGGGCCAGACTGCACCAGAAGCAGCTCCAATGGCGGCTCCGATGGCGTCTTCAGAAGCAGCCCCAGCAACACCTCCTGAAATGGGTTCAGCACCTCAGGCCATGGCACCCGCAGCAGCTATGGAGGCATCACCAGCAGCATCACCTGCAGCGGCTCTAGAAGCGTCCCCAGCGGCGGCTCTGAATGCGTCTTCAGTAGCATCACCTGCAGCATCCCCTGAAATGTCTCTAGCGCCATCTCCAGAGGTATCTTCAGCAGCAGCTCTAGAAGCATCTCCATCATCATCTGAGATGTCACCAATGGCATCCCCTGAAGCGCCTGCAAAAGCAGCTTCAGAGGCATCTCCTGCCATGTCGTCAGCCATGTCAGGAGGATCTCCCTCTTCAAAGCCCGTCATAACCGTGACCCCACCAGGAAAGTCGTCTCTGCCAGCAGTAACACCTATACCCTGGACCAACTCACCTTCAAAAATGGGGGGAATGAAAATCAGTGCAAGCGCAGAGGGAGCTGCCACCCCAGCAGCGATATCTGCGGAAAGCACCAGCACTATGGTATGTCACTACACTGCATTCTCAGCGATTGATCACTAACACTAGTGATAGATGGCTGGCGCAGAAATGGCCTCGCCAGGTTCCATGGCCAGCAACGGAACCGCTGCAGCTGTAACAGTAATTGCCGAGGGTGGCTCGCCAGCTGCCGCAGAAGCGGTTTCCAGTTCCATGTCTACTAGCATGGGATCAATCGACACGGCAACCCTGACACCAGGTGGCCTTGCTGCTGCAACCACGACGACAGCGGTAGGCAGCCCTATTGCAGTCATCGCTCAAGGCAATGTCACCGCCAGCTCCAGCGGCGCTGCAATGACTATGGCATCTGAGGGTTCCGGGGCAAGCAGCCCTATGATGAGCATGGCGTCCGGCAGTAGCGCTGCACCGGCGGCAGCCGCAGTTACAGTTGTTGCAGGGTCAGGAAACTCGTCTGAGTCGTCAGGCATGATGAGTGGCGGGTCTTCTGGGTCTTCTGGATCGTCCATGTCTTCTATGAGTGGAGCTTCGGCTACGGCTGATGCTGCTTCAGGAGGTGTAGCCGGCCCAGTGACTGTTATCGCAGGCAACGGAACATCACCTACTGCCGCTGCTGAGGCTGCCAGTGGATCAACCTCCATGGTCTCTGGTATGAGCTCAGGGTCTATGGGCTCGAGTGGTTCGTCTGGTGGTTCCTCAAACGGAACGTCGGTCGGACCCGTCACGGTTATAGCAGGCGGCGGCGAGGCTGCTGCTGCGGCTGCGACGCGAGCAGCGGAGAACGGAGGCTGCAATTGCTCTTGTCTGTGTCCTGCTGGTTCGTTCTCCATGGCTCCACCACCAGCCCCAGCGTTCCAACTGGGCTCTTCAAGTACAATGCAGACAATGGTTGCCAGCCCCATCACCGTCGAGGCAGGAAGCAGTACAGCAGGTGCAAGTTCAGGTTCCAGCTCCAGCTCCAGCTCAGCCTCGAGCGGATCCAGCATGGCATCCATGTCTAGTGAATCCTCCTCCTCCTCCTCATCTTCCTCGTCTGAATCACCAATGTCCACAACTTCCTCCTCCGCCGCAACATCAACGTCTGCCGAAGCAGCTAGTTCAAGCTCTGCAGCTACACCCGCAGCCACTACTTCTTCGTCCTCTTCTTCAGCAGCGACTAGCATCTCGGCTCAAAGCCAAATCGCAGCCGATGCGCCACCCGTACCTACACCTATTGGCGGCACTGAAACGCCAGCGGGCGGCCTGCCATTCAACATCAACACCGTTGATTTGCAGAGCCGTGTCACGGTGAATTTGGGAAGGAGGCTAGCGAAGCCGACGCAGGCAGCTAGGGGATGGTGGTCGTGAATTTAGTAAGTAGGTAGTTAATACGAGTGATTCAAAGTGGGAATTTATTTGTTTGGGACAGATCTTATTTCGTTTGTTTGTTTGTTGCAACTCCCCCCCCC